TAAGTAGGGGCCCAATACTGGACGTTGTTCTCGACTTTGATTTGGCATAGGAGAAGAAATACTTTGGGTTTCTTTCGATTTCATTTATGGCTTTTAGTTCTTCCCGCGATTCCTGACTCCTATAAGATTCCTTTAGCTTAAGTTCGATGCTTGCTATTTCTCTGACCAGTGTCTCCCTACGCATTTCAGATATATCGACCTCTTTTAGCCGCTCTGTTATTCTTTTCCGTCGCCTGTAAAGGGAGTGCCTGTCTCTTTCTACTTTTACATCTACATCGAGTGCCACAGAGTTAATCTGTTCTAGGCATAAGTTGGGGTCTGTGTTGCTTAGTATATCTTCCCAGCTTATATCGGTTAGGACTTGGTTTGAATTTGGTGAATGCACCCTCGTGACTAATCTCATTATGTCGGTCAGGGGCTCCGCGCATACATGTCTGAACCTCAATTATGTTGTGATCTGAGTATATTGTTTTTGATATGGTGATATTTCTTATCAGATCATCATTGTTAGTGAAGATGAGGTCTAGTGTATTCTCCAGTCTAGTAGGCTCTATTATTTGCTGGTTTAAATTGAATTTTGTGCAGAGATTTAAAAGCTCGTGTGCGTGTGAGTTTTCATCAGAGCTGCTTCCTGGTGTTATTACTGCAACAACATTATTTGCTATATTCCTCCATTTGAGGTGCCTTAAGTTGAAATCCCCCAGGAGCAAGATGTTGGGTGCAGGAGCTGGAAGATTTTCCAGACAGTGGTCAATTTTTAACAGCTGTTCCTGGAATTGCTGGAATGCTGCATCCGGAGGCTTGTAGACTACCACAATGATTAGGTTTTGGTTCTCGATCTTTACTGCTAAAACTTCCACTACATCATTTGAGGCATTAAGCAGTTCTGTGCAAACAAGTGACTCTGCAATGTACAGGCCAACCCCCCCCCTTTTTCCTGTTCACTCTGTCACATCTGTATAGGCTGTAACCTGGGATCCATATTTCGTTGTCCATGTGATCCTTTATGTGGGTCTCAGTGAAAGCCGCGAACATTGCCTTTGCCTCTGCAAGCAGTCCACGGATGAAAGGTATTTTGTTGTTTGTTGCTGGCTTTAGACCCTGTATATTTGCAAAGAAGAATGTCATCGGACTGGTGGTATTGTTGGTACTGGGGGGGGGATTTTTTTTTCCGGCATAAGTATCTGTATCTGTTGGTTTTGAGTGGAGGCCATCGACTGTGGTTCCACTCCAGGAATGACTGGATTTGGTGTACGATTTCTGCCATTTCCTGCCAGTTTTTTTTCCTTCCTGGCACTAAAAAACCTCTCCCTCTTGAGTGGCTGTGGCTACCCAGGTTTTCCCATGGCCTGGATGTTTTGTATCTTTTTGTCCCCTTTAGATGGTGTGCCTGGCAATTTAAGTTATAGCACAGTCTTTCCTGTACTGAAGAGGTACACATTTCAGGGTGAAAAAGCTTACAGGAAGGGAGTTTGCATTTTCCTGTTGTCATATGGGCACGGAATTTTCTAGGGTGGTCATAGTTGCACGTCCCGTCTGTTTTTCCAGATTTCCCATGTCTTCAGATACCAAGTGCATAGTATGTGCACAGGCTTGGTTTCCGTTTGCCTTGGGTTTCTGTGACTGCATTTCCTGTTGGTGCATGTTTACCTGTCTTGTTCCTATCCTCCCTAGCATCAACAATGGAGCTCCCACCAGTTGTTTTTGGTAATATATCCTCACTATTGCTAGTGGAGTCCTCTTGTTTGCTATTTCCTGTGGTATTTCTAGTTTGCAATATTGGTTTTATCTTATCTTTGACTACACTTGTTTCCCCACTACGGCTCCTGTCCCCTATGAGGTCATTTATATGTATTCCTTCCTGCGTATAATTCCCGACTACCTGGACAAAATCTCCAGCTTCACCGTTACTGTCTCCCAGGACAGCACCTCCAGCTTCACCATTACTGTCTCCCAGGGCAGCACCTCCAGCTTCACCATTACTGTCTCCCAGGACAGCACCTCCAGCTTCACCATTACTGTCTCCAAGGACAGCACTGTCAGCCCCACATTTACTGACTACCAGGACATCACCTCCAGCCTTACAGTTTCTGACTACATGGCCAGTATCAGGGGCAGTACCATTCAGCCCAGACTTTTTATGTTCCCATCTGTTGTAGAAAGCTTCCAGATTTTCTATGAAAGCAGCTTTGATGTTATCCTCTTTTAATACCCTCGTGATTTTAGTCCACAGATTTATCTCATTTGGGCATACCCAAAAACACTTCCCTGTTTTAATACTGCTTGTAGCTAGTTCTGATACGGGATGTTAGCGCTATCGGTCTGTAGTTCTTTGCTGTTGCTTTACTGCCCCCTTTGTGGAGTGAGGCTATGTCTGTTGTTTTTAGTAACTGTGGGACGACCCCAGTGTCCATGCTCCCTCTCCATAGGATGTTAAAAGCACGTGCTTCTTGCAGTTCCATAAGTCTGGCTCTGGGGCAGAGTGCATGGGCATGTCATTTATCGCCTTTTCGAAGTCATTTGGCGTCAGGATAACATCAGATAGGCTTGTGTTTACCAAATTCTGCGGCTCTCTCATAAAAATTCTTTTAGATCTTCGACTCTCAGTCTGGTTAGCGGCGTGCTAAAAACTGAGTCATATAGGGATTTGAGTAGCTCACTCATTTCCTTGCTGTCATCTGTGTAGGACCCATCTTATTTAAGTAGGAGCCCAATACTGGATGTTGTTCTCGACTTTGATTTGGCATAAGAAAAGAAATACTTTGGGTTTCTTTCGATTTCATTTATGGCTTTTAGTTCTTCCCGCGATTCCTGACTCCTATAAGATTCTTTAAGCTTTAGTTCGATGTTTGCTATTTCTTTGACCAGTGTCTCCCTATGCATTGCAGATATATTGGCCTCTTTTAGCCGCTCTGTTATTCTTTTCCGTCGCCTGCAAAGGGAGCACCTGTCTCTTTCTATTTTACATCTACTCCTCCTTTTTCTTAAAGGAATATGCCTTGAGCATACATCGAGTGCCATAGAGTTAATCTGTTCTAGGCATAAGTTGGGGTCTGTGTTGCTTAGTCTATCTTCCCAGCTTATATCGTTTAGGACTTGGTTTACTTGATCTCACTTAATGTTCTTGTTACTGAAGTTGAACTTGATGAAGGCTCCCTCATGACTGATCCCATTTTGTCAGTCTGGGGCTCCGCGCATAAATGTCTGAACCTCGATTTTGTTGTGATCCGAGTATATTGTTTTTGATATGGTGACATTTCGTATCAGATCATCATTGTTAGTGAAGATGTGGTCCAGTATATTCTCCAATCTAGTAGGCTCTATTATTTGCTGGTTTATGCTGAATTTTGTGCAGAGATTTAAAAGCTCGTGTGTGTGTGAGTTCTCGTCTGAGCTGCCTCCTGGTGTTATCACTGCAACAACATTATTTGCTATATTCCTCCATTTTAGGTGCCTTAAGTTGAAATCCCCCAGGAGCAAGATGTTGGGTGCAGGAGCTGGAAGATTTTCCAGACACTAGTCAATTGGTCAATTTTCAACAGCTGTTCCTGGAATTGTTGGTACGTTGCATCCTGAGGGTTGTAGCTAGACTAAATTTTGGTTCTCGATCTTTACTGCTAAAACTTCAACTACATCATTTGAAGCATTAAGCAGTTCTGTGCAAATAAGTGACTCTGCCATATACAGGCAAACCTTCCCCTTTTGCCTGTTCACTCTGTCACTTCTGTATAGGTTGTAACCTGGGATCCATATTTCGTTGTCCAAGTAATCCTTTATTTGGGTCTCTGTGAAAGCCGCGAACATTACATTTGCCTCTGCAAGCAGTCCATGGATGAAGGGTATTTTGTTGTTCGTTGCTGGCTTTAGACCCTGTATATTTGCAAAGAAGAATGTCGTCGGATTGGTGGTACTGGTGGTACTGGTGGTACTGGTGGGGGGAGGGGAACTTTTTTCCCGGCACTAATATCTGTATCTGTTGGTTTGAAGTGGAGGCATCGACTGTGATTTCACTCCAGAAATGACTGGATTTGGTGTACGATTTCTAACCTAACTTAACCTACCCTAACCTAACCTAGCCTAAACTAAACTAAACTAAACTAAACTAAACTAAACTAAACTAAACTAACCTGCCCACTCTACCCTAACCTAACCTAACCTAACCTGCCTAACCTAACCTAACCTAGGTGTGACAATTATTAGTAAGTAAAACACTTAGGTATCTTCCGAAACGTTTCGCCTACACAGTAGGCTTCTTCAGTAGAGTACAGGAAGTAGGCAGGAGCAGTAGAGATGTGAAGACGATGTAATCAGTCCATCACCCTTGAAGACTTAGGGTGATGGACTGATTACAGCCTACTATGTAGGCGAAACGTTTCGGAATAAAGCTGCCTAACTGTTGTCTATGTCTTACTTACCAACCTTCGGTATTGTATACCATTTTGACAGTGACTATTATTAGGAGAAAATGCATGTGGAATGGGGTAACAGCACACTGCTGATGTATGCATTTTTAAATAAAATGAATGTATCTAATATTTGACACGAAATATACATTTAAATAGTAAAGCATCACCCAGTTTTATGACTATTAATATTTATTTCTCACTAGCTGGTTTCAACAATTAATCTTTTGATGTCAGTGCTTGATGTAAGGAATATCAACTACCCTCACCTTACTTTAATCAAACCTAATTTCCTTTCATTCTCCAGGTGCTGTATGACCCTTACAAGTTTAGTGCTTCCTCACGAATATATTAATAGCGCCAAAAATAAATTTATACTCATGGTCAAAATGTTTACAATTACGATCCCTCAGTGAGACGTAGAATGCATACGAATGCAGACATGGATAAAAATTCACTTTATATCAACTATGGGTTCACTAGCAAATAAACGAATGATTGGGTAATTAATTTTTACTTTCCACATATTTTTGGTATTAATAAACAGGCTAATTGGTGTTAAATAAGAAATAAATAACATTGTTATTGGTGGTGATGGAGTTGCTCAATGTTTGTTGGTGTTTACGCGGGGCCGAGGATGAGTCCATCCTGCCTGGCTATTATTGCGTGATATATCCTGCCCTCGTCTCTGACACTCACATGATACATACGCCAACACCTTCATAAACATTTTCGAGTAAAATGAAAGAAAAGTACGTGGTTTTGGGCGTTTCTTTAACGGTGTTGATGTAGTAAGGTTGTAGCTGGTGCAGGAAGGTCGTATTTTGTGTACCAGCTGACAGTTTTTACACCAGCTGACAGTTTTTGCACCAGCTGATAGTTTTTTACACCAGCTGACAGTTTTCACAACTGAGGGAGTAATATATGTGGCTTTGATGACCTTCTAGGGTCGTGCTTTGATGCTGGTGAAGAGCTGCTCTTGGTCCAAGGCTATGGAGCTGTCCAACACCCCCTACGGATCAAATTGTGTACTATATTCCACTTTTTTTTTTAATGTGTAATAAATTTTCGAGTATTTGATTTAGTCATTTTGACTTCGTTGTAGCTACGTAGGTATTTTACACATAGTTACCATGTGAAACAACAGTAATTCATCCATAAATAGCGTAGGTTTACGTAGTTAAACCTGCCTTCCGGTCTCCTGGCACTATGACCCTCATGGGTTTAACTTTCGACCATGAATATTAATAATAATCACCTAACAGCAATTGTTACTGATGATGGGCTCTATATCCTAGGACTCTGAGCTGTCCACCTTCTCTCTACAGTGAGAATTTTCAATTACATATACTTTATCAGGGTCTACAGGGTCTACAACAAATTCTAACCATACAATAGAGTGAAAAAGTAATGTGAAGGACCTGGGAGTAATAATGTCAGGAACTCGCCTTCAAAGACCACAACACTGTATCTACCTCATCTGCTAGAAAAATGATTGGACGGATAATGAGAACCTTCAAAAGGAGGGATGCCAAGCCCATGATTCTCTTCAAATTACTTGTTCTCTCTAGGCTGGAATACTGCTGTACACTAACTACCTTTAATGGCACACATAAGTACGATAAAGCACTAAATTACTGGAACCGTTGAAGTTCTTTGATTTGTATTCCCTGGAATGCAGGCGAGAGAGATGCATGATAATATACACTTGGAAAATCCTAGAGGGATTAGTACCAAACTTGCACTCGAAAATCATTCCCAATGAAAGCAAAAGGACTCGGCAGGAGATGCAACTTTCCCCCAGTGAAAAGCAGGGACGCCGACGCCACGAGTACACTGATGGACAACACAGTGTGTCAGGGTTCAACACTTCATCTGCCTCCCAGCATATGTAAGGGGGATTACCAATAGACCCCTGGCTGTCTTCAAGGAGGCATTAGACAGGCACCTAAAGTCAGTACCTGACCAGCCGAGCTGTGGCTCATATGTCAGTTTGCGTGTGGCCAGCAGTAACAGCTTGGTCGATCAGACCCTGATCCACCATGAGGCCTGGTCTCAGACTGGGCTGCAAGGGTATTGACCCCTAAAACCCTCTCCAGGTATACCCAGGTTCAATCCTGCAGTGGGTTGAGATATTTGAGGGAGTGGAAGGGATTGCCAGCAATGTTAAAGCCTGTCCTAGTATGACCTCTTCAAGGGATGCTCCTTGACATGGGGAAGAGGCTCTTGGTCTAAGGAATTAGACCCTTTGGTCTCCTTCCTCAGACTGACCCTAATTACCCTCCAATACTCCCTTCCCTATCCCATCTTTCTAATCCCCCCTTTTTTTTCCTTTCCTCTTCCCTCCCATCCCTCCCACCTCAGGGTTTGTTACCTCTCACTATCGTCCCATTGCTCTGACCAGTGTAATCTGCAAAGTGATGGAATGATTGGTGAATAGACATCTGATTGGGTATTTGGAGACTCACAATAGGCTTTCTCCTTGCTATTATGGCTTTCGCAAGGGCCACTCTATTTTGGACCCCTTGCTCCACTTAGATTCATATGTGTGATATGCCTTTGCTAATAAACATTCCATCCTAGCAGTCTTTTTTGATCTCAAGAAGGCATATGACACCACTTGGAGGTAGAACATCTTAGCCCAGGCCCACTCCTTAGGCCTCCATGGTAGTCTACCAACCTTCCTTGCTGCTTTCTTATCTGACAAACATTTTCATGTCCATGGTGGCGTCTCGCTTACCTCAGACTTTGTTTAAGCCGAGGGAGTCCCACAAGGTTGTGTCCTTAGCAATATCCTTTTTCTCTTGCCTACCTTCCATTCTTCCATCACATATTTGGGCGTCACTTTATGTGGATAACTTCGCTACAGCTTACGCAGGTGCTGACTGTTGCCTGGTAGTGGCCTCCTTTCAGGATGCAATTGACCAAGTTTCCCATTGGGCCACTTCTCATGGATTTAAATTGTTTAGTACGAAAACCCATTTCATTACCTTCACTAGGTGTCTTCTTGTCCCAGATATTCCTTTGTATTTACATGGCTCACGTATTCCAGAATGTGACATGGTCAAGTTTCTTCGCCTTTTCTTCAATTGCCGGTTGTCATGGAACCTCACATTTCCTCTTTGAAGGCAGCTTGCCATGGTCGGCTGAATCTCCTTAAAATTCTTGCACATCGCTCAAGGGGAGCAGATTGTCAGATTCTCCTCTGTTTGCATTCCACCCTAGTCTTGTCCAAGCTGGATTATGGTGGCCAAGTCTATTCTGCGGCTTCTACAACTTATTCCAAGTTAGATAACCCTTCATCATCAGGGTTTACGTTTATGCCTTGGTGCCTTACGTTCATCCCCTGTTGAAAGCCTCTATGCTGAGGCGAATGTTCCTTCCTTAGCTGATTGTCGTGATGCTCATTGCTTTTGTTACTTTGTCCTCTCTCATGGCCTTCGTGTTCCTCCTACGTATAGGTTGGTTTCAGACTTTAGTAAGAGCCCCTGCTTACTCCGACTGTTTTCTCTTCATCTTCACTCACTCCGGTCTTGTTTCCAGTTGCCTCCCTTGTATGTTCATTTCGTGTCTGCCTTTTCCCTTTCCCCTTGGGAGGTTCTGACAGTTCATGTCTGTTCTCCCCTACTGCTGTGCGTCAAAGCTCTCCTACCTACGACTGCCTCTCATGCTCTTTCTTGATCACTTCCGGACGCATGCTCATGCTGTCACTGTTTATACAGATGGTTCTAAATTTTCTGATGGTGTTGGGTTCACAGCGGTGTTCCTTGATGATGTTGTCCGAGGTCATTTGTTAGACTTGGCTGGTATTTTTACCACCAAGTTGTATGCCGTCCTCATAGTGCTTCTCCATATTACATATATGTCTCCTTTGATGTTTGTGATCATTTCAGATTACCTCAGTGCTTTACAAGCCATTAAACATTTTGATTCCTCTAATCCAATGGGCCTTCATATTCATCTATGGTTGTGCCATGTGGCTGTCAAAAACAAAGACGACATTTTCTGTCGAGTCCCTGGACACGTTGATGTGCAGGGCAATGAACAGGTGGATGCTGCTGTGTGGTCAGCAGTACATGATCTTCCGGTTTCCTATAAGGTATTCTAGTCAGGGATTATTTTACAGTCATCTCTGCCCATCTTTGCGGCTGTTGGCAACAACGGTGGTCGGACATGCACCATAACAAATTGCACTCTAGTAAACTTTATTTAGGTTTGTGGCTATCTTCTTACCACCGTTGCTGTATTCGGGAGACTGTGCTCTCCTGTCTCCGCATTGGCTGTACTGCCTTGCCCATGGGTATCTTGTGGAATGACACCCTATTCCTCTCTGTGAGGTTTGTCGGGTCCCCATTTCGGTTCTTCACTCTCTTAGGGATTGCCAGGTTTACCAGTGAGCTTGCAAAATTTACCTCCTACAATGCCACCGCCCTACCACTCTTACCTTATCTTCCCTTCTTGCAGATGGCTCTGCCTTTCTCTTACAATAATTTTTTGACTTTTTGTCAGCAACTGCTTTACTACATGAACTTTGACACATAGCCCTTAGCATCCCTTCCAGGCCTTTTTTTCCCTTCACCTCTGATCCTCTCTCCACCTAGCTGTTTGTAGCTCCGGTACTATTTACTGCCCCTCAGCGCTGCATGACCCTTGTCGGTTTAGTGCTTTCTTTGATTATAATAATAATGTCCTAATATGAGCCAGTTCAGGAAGAGAGCTAAAAGGAGCCTAATGAAGGAAGCTATGAAAAGGGAGGCTGTTGTAGGTTTAGCACTTAATTATGATTATAATAATTATAATACAAAAAGGGAGGAGAGTGATTTCTTGTATAGTTAACATTTGTGTACCTGTTATTATAAGAGGATCATCTTAATGTTAATATAAATAACTCAGTTTACTTTATCCCTATTGTATCTCCTTTTATTGTATCTATATCTAAATAAACTTACATATTTACTTATGAACAAGTCTTACACCCAATGTCTGATCACTTTGTAGGAAATACTTTAAGTTCCTATGAGTAGACCTTAGTGGTTGCACCCTAGGAAAGAGGATCAAAGGACAATGGAAAGTGGCAAACTAAGTCTGATAAACAAGTTATGCTGCTTTAACAAAATCTTAAAATATTGCCTTATACATTGAAAGTAATATTCACATAAATATAATTTTTTAATTTAAAATATGGAATGCTACTCACAACTTGAATTGCAGAACTCATGCAATGTGCTATATATATTTTCTGCAATATATTTTATTATATGTACAGTAGGGTAATAGAGAGGTTAATAAGAGTTAAAATGGAATCTTAGTATATTTGGAAGTTAAATATATACTAGATATGACCAGAAACCATATCTAGTGTATAGTATCTTGTATGTTGAAATAACTGCCATATATTAATTTCTTTTTCTACTTTTCAGAATAAGCAACGATTTGTCGTACATAAAAGCAGGCTACCGGAGTGACAAATGGAAGTGGGTGCTCAGTCTGCCAGTAGTCAGTGGTGGTGGTGCACCAGTCAGCAGTTTAAAAGAATATAAAACCCCTGATTCATGTGGATCTTCGGTAAAAGGGGCTTCACCTGACATTGTTATTAACGAGAAGAGTATAACAGAGAACAGCGATCACCCTGATACAGCCGATCTACTTGTGAAGAATAATGGGCCAAATTGTTTTTTGTCCAGTTCTAAACCCTTCTCAGAAGATCAGCTGACAAAAGAACAAATTATGAAAACATTTGGAATGGACAAATGCCCAAAGGCTCTTCCTTGCCAGTATGTGAGATTGATAGTTAAGAGAACAGTTTTGTACCCATACATATTTTAAAAAAGCAGGTGTATATAAAGGTAGTAGGTTGGTAGACAGCAACCACCCAGAGAGGTACTACCGTCCTGCCAAGTGAGTGTAAAACGAAAGCCTGTAATTGTTTTACATGATGGTAGGATTGCTGGTGTCTTTTGTCTGTATCATAAATATGCAAGATTACAGGTACGTCTTGCTACTTCTACTTACACTTAGGTCACACTACACATACGTGTACAAGCATGTACAGTGGACCCCCACCTTACGATGGCATCGCGTTACATTAAATCCGCCATACGATACATTTGAACGCAAAAATTTTAGCTCTCCTCACACTAAAAAATTCGCCTCACGCGATTCGTCCGGGACGCGTCCCATGTGTGGCCTCAGCGCCAGTGTTTACACGCCAGCCAGTGCGGTTGCATCTACACATACATTCGGTACATTTCACCTTATCCCAGTGTTTTTTGTGCTTGTAACTGTAAAATAAGTCACTATGGGCCCCAAGAAAGCTTCTAGTGCCAACCCTGTGGTAAAAAGGGTGAGAATAAGTATGGAAATTAAGAAAGATTTTGAAGGGTTTGGGGCTAACCCTTTGAAGCCTATGCCAGTTGTGGAATCCATTGTGCCTACTTCAAAGATTAAGGAAGTGTGTGCACAGGGGGTTGAACTGCAAACCTTTATGGATGAAAAGAAACCCTAACACAGCTATTGCAAGCCGTGCTGGTGACTATTACAATGACAATGTTTTGGCCCATTTTAGGCATATCTTAAAGGAACGGGAGGTACAGAGCTCTATGGACAGATTTGTTGTGCGACAGAGGTCCAGTGACTCTCAAGCTGGTCCTAGTGGCATTAAAAGAAGAAGGGAAGTCACCCCAGAAAAGGACTTGATACCTCAAGTCCTAATGGAAGGGGATTCCCCTTCTAAACAATAACAACTTCCACACTCTCCCCTCCTCCCATCCCATCAATCATCACCAGATCTTCAATAAAATCAAGTGTCATGTATTCTATTCTTAGTAGAGTATTAATTGTGTATGTCTTCTTATTTTTGTGTGTATTAAAATTAGTATTTCATGTGGTAAAAAGTTTTTTTTTCATACTTTGAGGTGTCTTGCACGATTAATTTGATTTCCATTATTTCTTATGGGGAAAATTAATTCGCCATACGATAATTTCAGCTTACGATGAGCTCTCATGAATGGATTAATTTCGGTAAGCAGGGGTCCACTGTATATACACACTCCTCTGGGTTTTCTGCTATATTCTTTCTAGTTCTTGCTCTTATTTATTTCCTCTTATCTCTATGGGGAAGTGGAATAGAATTCTTCCTCCGTAAGCCATGCATGTTGTAAGAGGCGACTAAAATGCCAGGAGCAAGGGGGCTAGTAACCCCTTCTCCTGTATATATTACTAAATGTAATACGTATATACAGCAGAAACTTTCATTTCTCCTTTTGGGCCACCCTGCCTCGGTGGGATACGGCCGGTGTGTTGAAAGAAAGAAGTGTATGTATGGTATATGCAGTAGTATTATGAAACTGTTTTCTTACTTCATTGCATAGTTGTCCAGTATAGTGTAGCAATTATGTTCCTGTAAATTATGTCCTCTTAATCCTTGCTGTAAAACTAAAATGTATGTTAAATCAAAATTATATGCATTTCAGGACTATGTTTTCTACAGTAAAAAGTAAAGAACTATACCAGGTGCCTTGCATTGAGATATCCCTAACTTCTTGAAATTAAATATTCCTATGTTCATTAACCCTTTCAGGGTCCGTCCCGTAGATCTATGGTTTTACATTCAGGGTCCAAACCGTAGATCTACGCCATGAGCTCAGCTCACTCTGATAAACTGTGAGTGGTAAATTTGGGCCTAGATATGAGAGAATGCATCTATGTGGTATGTGTGCACCACATAAAATAATTCCTGTAGCACACAGTGTATAATGAGAAAAAAAAACTGAGGCTGTGATTTTCGATTAAAACAGCGATTTTGCAGTGTTTTTTCGTATGTTTTTTATAGTTGTATTTGTGATTTCTTGGTCTCATTTGATAGAATGGAAGACATATTACAGAAATAGAGATGATTTTGATTGGTTTTAGCACTGGAAATAGCTTGAAACTGAGCTCAAAGTAGTGGAAATGTTAAATTTTTGCCAATGTTCAAGAGTAAGCAAACGACCTCACACGTCTAATACACACCAACTGGTGGGTCTAATATTCATTCACAAATGTGATGATGATATTTATACAATTATTACAATATTGCATAACAGTAAATCTTCTATATTTTGGTGTGAATAAAAATTCATTATGTGAATAAAAAATCAAAATGGAATTTATTTGTAAAGCCTCAAAACATAACTAATGAACAGAGGAAATATTAGTTTAGTGCCATGAATACCTACATTGTTTATTCTGGACCCTATTTTGAAATTGGAATATTTTGAACTTTGTGTTAAATTGGCCAAATTACCAATTTCCGATCACTTTATTTTGTAGTTGAAACAGTTGACTTGGCGATTTCTTGTGCTCAATCAATAGAATGGAAGTAATACTAGTGAAATAGCTAAGAATTTGGTCGACTGGAATAATGTAATTGGCCTAAAATGGGAGTCAAAGTCGGCAAAATCGCCGATTCGTAAATATCGCTGACATCAAAATTCGCGAGAGCATAATTTTGTCAATTTTCCATCAAATTTCGTACTTTTTGTTTTATTACCTTCACAAAAAGATTCTGTACCATTTCATAAGAAAAAATAACATTTTTTTTTTTTTAAATTCTTGGACACTGGGGCACCACTTCAGATTTTGGCCTTGGACCCTGAAAGGGTTAATTAGGGCTGAACTACTAGAGCTAAATTTGCACACCTTTAATAGGCATACCATCCTGGTCACATTTTCAAAAACAAATTTGTGCCTGCATGATTGCAGCACTGCTAAGTGCAGCTTCTCCTTAGTGAGGTATTTAGCTACACACATCCAGTTTTTGTCAATTCACCGCTAATAGCAGTGCCGCAGGCTTCTGTCACTGCCTCACTAATTACAATTGTATGAATTTTCAAATTATTTGTTCCATCATCATGTGTCCTGTATTTGGTGGTTATCTGCATCTAACAATTCTATTTTCCTGAGCAATACCATACATTCTTAAAAGTTCTCTGCTTTATTTGATTCGTGAACGTCATACTCAACATTTTTATTGGTGTAGAAAACATTGACTCTTGGAGCTTCCTCACTTGTTAAATTGCTGTATTTTATGAATTGAATTGTTCATATGTCATTTTTTTGCCATTACTGGTTAATAGCCAGTGATGGGGAAAGGGAAGCAGTTGGTAAAGTCCAATTAAACATTGGTAAACAAAAAGGCTAATGTTTTATTTGCAACTGAGGCACAGATGGTTGGTGAAAAGTGCTGAATTGCCTGTCTGCCAGATTACAGAACCACTTGTGTTTCCTTTGGGTAACTCTACCTTGATGGGAAATGGGTAATGTAATAAACAACATGATGAAGTACTTACATTTTCATCTACCTTGATGGAAATGGGTAATGTAATAAACAACATGATGAAGTACTTACATTTCATCTACCTTGATGGGAAATGGGTAATGTAATAAACAACATGATGAAGTACTTACATTTTCATCTACCTTGATGGGAAATGGGTAATGTAATAAACAACATAATGAAGTACTTACATTTTCATCTACCTTGATGGGAAATGGGTAATGTAATAAACAACATGATGAAGTACTTACATTTTCATCAAGACTCAGCCATGTCTGTCAGTATATTTCCATGCTATAAAAAATGTAAATGTAGTTTCAGTATATCCACTATGTCTTATGAAAATCTTGCCATAAAAAGACATGTTTTGTAAGACTGCACTATATTTCATATACAGTGGACCCCCGGTTAACGATATTTTTTCACTCCAGAAGTATGTTCAGGTGCCAGTACTGACCGAATTTGTTCCCATAAGAAATATTGTGAAGTAGATTAGTCCATTTCAGACCCCCAAACATACACATACAAACGCACTTACATAAATACACTTACATAATTGGTCACATTCGGAGGTAATCGTTATGCGGGGGTCCACTGTATTTGGGTTTCCTTGTTTGCCTTCAAGTTTTTCTTCCATTTCTAATTAAGTTTTTCTTATTTAATTTTTAGAAAAAGATGTTCAAGCAATCCTTGGTGCCTAGCAGATTTGGGGAGTGGAACAGGAAAAGAAAAAATTCGTCCTACAGATCAACCTCGAGACCCCAACAAACCAGTTGGGCTCCAGAATACAGCAAATACATGTTGGATTAATTCAGCTCTCCAAGCTCTGTTTCAGCTCCCTAAGTTCAGGTACTGCAATAGAAAGACTGCTAATTTGATCTGTTTTTGCATTTAAGAATATTTGCAGGATTTTAATGTTGTATGTAACATTTTGAAGAGAAAAATTGCTTTCCACGAAGAGTTCCATGAACTACTGAAAGAAACAACAACCCATCGGCATAACATCTATAGCACCAGTAATAAATTGTTGTAGTACCTTTTTCCCCCAGTAAGTCATCTTTTTACATTAGTCTGATTGCCTGCACTTCCTTTGTTGTCTGCATTAATTACTGCACAGGTTTCCTTCTCCATTCGAAAGAAACTTGATAAACAAAGCTGACAAGGAAAGGTGGTGGACACCATGGTTCATGGAATCCTTCACAGAATGCATTCTTTTATATCATTTTAATGTTATATTCTGTGTTCAGACTCCATGAGCCACTAGTAGAAATCCTACGATCAATACGCGCATACCACATTGTGTTGCCACTTTGCACGATGCTATGTTGAACTCTCTGGGATCATGTCGGCGAAAAACATGATCTCCATTGTATGAAAAATAAAGTAAGGAAAACTTGAAGATATTTCAAATATAAATGGATGGATAGGACAGATGACTAAAGACACATTTATTAGCATTTACCATAAAAGGAGTGAATTTTTGTATGTAAATGCTTAAAATCCAGAATGTTCCATGTCTGACTTCTGAAGGGTAAACTATATCTCCTGGAAGATTGTAACCTTATTGAGAGGGGAATGCAGTGGTACCCCGTGTTTTGGTCATAATTCATTCCAGAAGGCTGTTCGATTGCCATTACCGAACGAATTTGTTCCCACGAGGAATAATGTAAATTAGATTAGTCCGTTTCAGACCCCCAAAAATACACTTACAAAAGCACTTACAATAATACACTTACATAATTGTTCAAGTTGGGAGCTGGACGAAACTCGGGGTACCACTGTACAGCAGAAAAACCCTCTTGTACCGATAAGAGGTCAATGAAGGCTGGAGTTGTAAAACTAAAATGTATGTTAAATCAGAATTATATACATTTCAGGACTATAAATTTTTTCTCAAGTAGAAAGTAAAGAACTATATCAGCTGTTCTGGTGGATGGTCAAGTCACTGGTATGTCTGTTGTTTAACCTTTTTGAGGTCCGTGCTGTAGTATTACTGCTTTGAGGTCAGTGTCTCTGCTGTAATACTATATGATGAGCTCAGCTCACTCGGATAAGCTGTGAGGGGTAAATTTGCGACTAGATATGAGAGAATGGGACCATGCGGTGAGGGTGCGCCATATAAAAAAATTCTGTCACGTGGTGCATGTTGGGAAGAAACTGTGACCATGTATTTGGTTTCAGATAGCAATTTTTGTGATATATTTTTGGATGTTTCTTTTTATGGATATCTCAGTTTCTTGGTATCATTTTATAGAATGGAGGATATATTACAGAAATAGAGATACAGTGGACCCCCGGTTATCGGCTGGTTTGGTTATCGGCGGGTTTTTCGGCGCCTGGTTATCGGCCGTTCGCTCGGTTATCGGCCATTTTGGACGCGTCCATCCGCCGGCTGGGGCAGCTTGTGCTTCAGTTTGGCTTTGTCTCTTGGTGGCTGAGGAAGCTTCTGCTCATACATCCAAACATTTTGCTTGTTTACCATTGTTTTTAGTGGTTTTTTTGAATGATTTCAGGACTGGAAGTAGCTTGAAATTGACCTCAAAGTAGCTGAACTGTTCAATTTTTGCTGATATTCCAGATAAAACAAATTATGTCACTTATTCAATATGCATCCAAATGGTCAGTCTAATATGCATTCACAAATGCACTGACATTATTTATACAGTTATTACAATAATGCAGCATTCTGCATAACAGTAAATCTTCTATTTTTTTGTGTGAATAAAAATTCTGGCCTGGGGACATAACTAATGAACAGAGAAAATGTTGTTTTAGTGCCTGGAGTACAAGGTAAATAATCATGGATAAAACAAGCAACAGTGGTAGGAGAAATATCTCAGAATTATACAGGAAACATTTTGAACTTGCTTACTTCTGAGTGAGAGATGGCGCTGGAAAGTGGGCAGAGAGGAAAAGGATGCAAGTCAAGAAAACATGACATCCCTTCTGCCTCCAGCCACCACCTTGCTGCAGCATTCAAATATCATGTCTCACACCCATACTTAAGTGCTGGAACCACTATTCTCTGATGTATTCCTGTTTTTGCATCCATTGATAAATTAATCTTTTACCACATACCTCAGTACTCTACCTACCATTTTCTCCTCATCTATTTTTACAATTTGCCTTGCCTTTCATGAACACATTTTCTATTACAGCTCCCAAGTCTCTCCTTAATACATTTTTTTTTTTTCAACAAGTCGGCTGTCTCCCACCAAGGCAGGGTGACCCAAAAAAGAAAGAAAATCCCCAAAAAGAAAATACTTTCATCATCATTCAACACTTTCACCACACTCACACATTATCACTGTTTTTGCAGAGGTGCTCAGAATACAACAGTTTAGAAGCATATACGTATGAAGATACACAACATATCCCTCCAAACTGCCAATATCCCAAACCCCTCCTTTAAAGTGCAGGCATTGTACTTCCCATTTCCAGGACTCAAGTCCGACTATATGAAAATAACTGGTTTCCCTGAACCCCTTCACTAAATATTACCCTGCTCACACTCCAACAGATCGTCAGGTCCCAAGTACCATTCATCTCCATTCACTCCTATCTAACACGCTATCTAACACAGAATGGGTATTTTAAACAACTACAGATGTGTTGTCAAGAGAGGGGTCCAATGTGAATTGTTTTGATGCTGAAAGGAGTTAGCAAATTAATTTATTGAGTTTTTTTATATCAGGGAATTTGTTTCAGTTGTAGGAATAACATTGACTTAGTTTGTATGTTACTGTATTTGATGTGTGGATTAGTACTGCTAAAAATGTGTGGCAATATTTGTGGTGAAAATACTTAGAGAGAAGCCAATTTCATATACAGGATACAGTTCAGATGATTGAAAGTGACATGCTACAGTGAAGCAAACATCCACATGATCTGGCATGATTGGTCATGTGCACTTGAATTTACAATGATGTGACTGGTTGACTTAGTCAAACTCAATTTTATTTGCAATTTTCTGTATATGGTATTCTAGACTGTTTCTCTATGTTTTAACTGTGATTTTCTTTGAATTGTTGTAGGATTTAAAGTCTTGGCTTGTTATAAGTATTATCATTATCATTATCATTTCATATTTTTTTTTTTAGGAATGTCATCAATGGTGTTGAAGGATTTGCTGGTGAGGAGAGTCTGTCCTGCATGTTGTACCTGCTTCAGGCCATGTTTGTTGAAATGGACACCCATGCTAATAAGTATGCTTCTCTAATTTTGACTTAATATGTAAGATATTCTTGCAAATATTACTTTTATATAATTGTTATGATAAGTTGTAATATTTATGGTGTGTAATTCAATACTTTATAGTCTTGGGTTACCTATCATTGGGGAAGTATACTTCTCTGATAAGGAAGTCCACTGTTTAGTTTTCTAATTGCAATTGATGCAATGCTTTCTGTGTTATATGCATTTTTATGTTTGTCCATGTTTTGTAAGATATTAACCCTTTCAGGGTCCAAGGCCCAAATCTGGAGTCACGCACCAGTGTCCAAGAATTTTCAAAAAAATAATTTGTTATTTTTTCTTATGAAATCGTAGAGAATCTTTTTGTGAAGGTAATAAAACAAAAAGTACGAAATTTGGTGGAAAATTGACGAAATTATGCTCTCGCGAATTTTGATGTGTCAGCGATATTTACAAATCGGCGATTTTGCCGATTTGATCCCTTTTTAGGCCAATTACATTATTCCAGTCAACCAAATTCTTAGCTATTTAAATAGTATTACTTCTATTCTATCGATTTGAGCACAAGAAATCGCCAAGTCATGAGTTTCAACTACAAAATAAAGTGATCGGAAATTGTTAATTGGGCCAATTTAACACAAAGTTCAAAATATTCCAATTTCAAAATAGGGTCCAGAATGATACAATGTAGGCATTCCTGCACTTAACTAAATTTCCTCTGTTCATTAGTTATGTTTTGAGGCTTTACAAATTAAATTCCATTTTGATTTTTTTTCACATAAGGAATTTTTATTCACCAAAAAATAGAAGATTTACTGTTATGAATACTGTAATATTGTAAAAATATGCATCACCATATTTTGTGAATGTATATTAGACCCACAGCGATGTGTATTAGGACGTGTGAGGTCGTTGATTACTCTATGAAATCGGCAAAAAATTTGCATTTTCTGCTACTTTGAGCTCATTTCAAGCCATTTGCAGGTGCTAAAACCAAACTCAAATCATCTCTATTTCTGTAATATGTTTCCATTCTATCAAATGAGACCAAGAATCGCAAATTAAACTATAAAAAACATACGATAATAAACACTTGCAAAGTTGCTTGTTTTAATCGAAAAATCTGATTCATTTTTTTTGCTTATAACAGTCTGCTGCTGTGATACTGTTTTTTGTGGAATGACACCATACAATAGAGTATGTTCTCTATATTAGGCTAAATGTACATCTCAAAAGTTTATCAGAGTGAGCTGAAGCTTTATGGCGTTAGATCTACGGTTTGGACCCTGAACCCTTAAAGCCCTTTTAGTTTTCTATGGGAACGGACCCTGAAAATGGTGTTTTTAAATTAATGTTGCTATCTCGGATAATTTATCTTTATTTTTTATAATTTGAATCCATTATCTTTACATCCTTGTTTTCAAAAGTATGCTTATTTTTTATAACTTTAATCCATCTTCTTTACACTAATATTTTAATAATAAACACAGCTTGGAGGCAGCTGTTTCAAATTGCTTTTATGCTTATTTATTGTCTCTATTAAACCAAGATTGATAGACTTCAAACTAGTATGTATTTTTTTGGTTTAGCATGTTATATGATTGTAAAATAATTTGAGAACAAAATTCTGGTTGTTAAAAATGCTTAATCATACAGTATATTTTTCTTGTTATTATTGTGCAAGTAGGGTTTTGATTTAAAGTTTAGTAAATTATATGATAGATGAAGAAACTGACAGTGAAACTTGTATGACATTTGATTACTCTTGGATCATTTTCATAGATTGTCCTGAGTTAATAAGAATCTGACTGTATTGATACCAAAAATTTTTATTCTGCCATTCAGCAGAAATTGTATCTTTCATTAGCTATACACAAATAACCCACACATAGGAGAAAGAAGCTAATGACAATGTTTCAACCTGACTTGGACAATTGACTAGTCACACTGACACACGAAGATGCAGTACGGACTGGCTCCCTCATCTTCATGTGAGTGTGACTAGTCAGTTAGTGTTAAGGTGACTAGTCAATTTTCCAAGTTGGATTGTTATGTCATCATGAGCTTCTGTCTCCTGTGTGCTGGTTATTTATGTATTGTTCCAGTCACAGTATTGTGCCTTTTTGTTCATTTTATTAGCTACATTTGATTTGAATTGTTGTTAATCATGTAGTCAAGACGTTTGGCCTAAATTCCAATTTGATGCGTTGACTGTTCCTCTTACATAATCACATGACAGCCCCTTTAGGTTAATAGGTGCTTCTTTCAAGACTAGCTCAAAACTTACTCATTACCGGTCGTACACAGGTGTAGACAAATTGAGTTTCTAAACTCTTTCCAATTATTATAGATATCATTACAGTAATAGTATTCTGCATTTGTCTTTTATTTAAATGGTTTTATCTTTTTGCAAAGTGAAATGGTACTTTCATGTTTTGGTTAAATTTTAAGCATTCACTGGAAGAGACAGGGAAAAGTAGTTTGCCAAAGCTTTTATTGTACAGTATCTCAGTCCATTAGTTGTATGTAGAACATGGGAAATAAATACTATTAAAGGCAAAATTAAGTGATAGATATGCTGTAGAGGGAAAGCACAGAATGCAGTTATAGATATAGAATGAAGAGGAACTTGGGATAAGCAGGAGAGTTTGCATATTTAGGGCTCTTGAGTTACAATCATGATGTAAATTAAGAGGTTTATAAAGAAAGAGAGATACTTTTTTTTTGCATGAGATCTTTGTGTGTTTATAAAGGACACTTCTTTGAATATAAACAATATGTACTGATTAGTCTTAATAGTTTTTAGGTTTAATATAAATTTGTGTACAATTATTGCAGAGATCAGTAAACTATCAACATTTTTATCATCCCTAGGAAATATAAATACTAAATTATTATAGTTGTACCGAAATACACATAACTAGAAACTATTTCATATATATGCATTGATACTGCTGCTGCTGTGGAGATTTCATCTTCCCAAATATAAAATGGAAGGTGATACTCAACAACATTATACTGGAAATAATACCAGATATTCAACAACATTATACTGGAAATAATACCAAGAAGCAGTCTAGCTCAACAAGTATATATCAAGAGCTCCAAAGACTTGGTAAAAAATTTGTAATGAACTTAAAAATTATAGAACCTTCTAGAAGTGAAAATACATTCAATTTGGTCTTCCAGGACAAGGAGGAGCTAATATGTCAAATACATTACATGTTAATCACCTCACTGAAATACAAACAAGCATAAATAAGGTAAAGAAATGTTAGTGGCTAAGTCTTTACAATATAATTCACGAAAGAAACTGCTAATGATTGAAGGTATATTCTAAGTAGACAATGAATTATATTTTCAGAATTAAACAGTGTCTTAACTTTTTTGGGTTATCCTAGGTAATTTATGGTATGTATGATAATTGTACTTATATGTATCTGTGCCAAAATAAATTGACTTCCTTACTTGATCTTCTTCTTTCAACAAACCGGCCGTATCCCACCGAGGCAGGGTTGCCCAAAAAGAAAAACAAAAATTTCTCTTTTTAAATTTGGTAATTTATGCAGGAGAAGGGGTTACTAGCCCCTTGCTCCCGGCATTTTAGTCACCTCTTATAACACACATGGCTTATGGAAGAAGAATTCTGTTCCACTTCCCCATGGAGATAAGAGGAAATAAACAAGAACAAGAACTAGAAAGAAAATAGCAGAAAACCCAGAGGGGTGTGTGTATACATATGCTTGTACATGTATGTGTAGTGTGACCTAAGTGTAAGTAGAAGTAGCAAGACGTACCTGCAATCTTGCACGCTTATGAGACAGAAAAAAGGACACCAGCAATCCTTTCTTTCAACACACCGGCCATATCCCACCGAGGCGGGGTGGCCCAAAAGAAAAAACGAAAGCTTCTCCTTTTACATTTAGTAATATATACAGGAGAAGGGGTTACTAGCCCCTTGCTCCCAGCATTTTAGTCGCCTCTTACAACACACATGGCTTATGGAGGAGGAATTCTATTCCACTTCCCCATGGAGAGAACAGGAAATAAACAAGAACAAGAACTAGTAAGAAAATGGAAGAAAACCCAGAGGGGTGTGTACATGTACATATGCTTGTACATGTATGTGTAGTGTGACCTAAGTGTAAGAAGAAGTAGTAAGATGTACCTGAAATCTTTCATGTTTACGAGACAGAAAAATGGACACCAGCAATCCTACCATCATGTAAAACAATTACAGGCTTTCGTTTTACACTCACATGGCTTACTTGATATTCTTGTGTAGTTTTCTCTTAGTTATTCCCACACTTGTATAATGCTTTGCAGTTCAGAACTGTACCTCCATGTTTAGATTCCATGCATTAATTAATGTTTGGTTCTTTATTCATTGTGTTATTTTCCTAATTGTGAAAGTAAAGGGAAATTCATGCATAGCTCTTGCTTTCAGAGCTATAGCATGTAGTCCTGGTAGTGTATTTGAAAAAATGGGACTTTTTGCAACTCAAGAGATAATGCGCAAAGATGCGGACCATGAGGTGCTCAAGTGTGTATCTGAGTTCCTGGAAAACACCATTGATACACTAATAGCTGATCCTAGATTGGGTTCAAAGCTCAGTCCACTTTTCAACACTAATCTAATGAGGTTGGCAAGGTAAGCATCTTGAAATTACTTATTTGCAATTATTATACCTGTTGCAATTTGGGAAGGGGGTTAGCAATAGCTTTCTTGTTTGGAATTCTCACATTCAGCATTTGAAAATAAAATGTTGAATTCCAAATGGTTTCCCAAAATTTATATTTTTCTCATATTCAATAAGATCAGTTTTTTTAAATATTCTTCTTTCTTTCAACACACTGGCCGTATCCCACCAAGGCAGGGTGGCCCAAAAAGAAAAACAAACATTTCTCTTTTTAAATTTAGTAATTTATACAGGAGAAGGGGTTACTAGCCCCTTGCTCCCACCATTTTAGTTGCCTCTTACAACACGCATGGCTTACGGAGGAAGAATTCTGTTCCACTTATCACCTGGGAATTGATACTGTCTTTACAATATGCAAGTTAAGGTGTGGAAAGGTCATGCATATACGATTACTGTCTGTGAATCCATAGCATGAGGGTTAATGAAATGTTCTCATATTCTTCCTTGGAATTTCAGAGCAATGATCTCTGTGAAATGTTGGTAAACAACCAGTAAATGATATAAAAGTAAAGCATTGTAAAACCAGCATTATACAGTGGACCCTTGACTTACGATATTAATCCGTTCCAGAGAGCACATCGTAAGACGAAATTATCGTAAGTTGAATTAATTTTCCCCATAAGAAAAAATGGAAATCAAATTAATCTGTTCAAGACACCCAAAAAAAAGTATGAAAAAAAAAAATTTTTACCACATGAAATATACATTTTCCTACACACAAACAGAAGGATACATGCACAGTATATATTGTGTAATGAAGAATAAATGACACCTTTATTGAAGATTTGGTGATGAGTGATGGGATGGGAGGAGGGGAAATGATGGAGGTGTATTATTTTTTGGAAGGGGAATCCCCTTCCATAAGGACCATGGTGGCTTATTTAGCAGTTACAAGCACTAAAAACACTAAAATGTTCCGAATGTATGCATGGAAGCAACCGCACTGGCTTATAAACATTGGCACACTAACTGAAGGCAGGGCAGCTGAGGCGCGCTCAGGCCAGATGGACCTGTGGACGCGTACTGGACGAATGATCTAAGTTGAATTTTTCAGCGTAGGTCAGGGGTCAAATTTTTACGCTGATAAACATCGTAAGTCGGTTTTATCATAGGTTGAGGCCATCGAAGGTCGGGGGTCCACTGTATATGCCATCTTTGGCTGATACATGGAATATATCTGTAGAGAGTTCTGAGGGTCAACTCCCCCATGGCTCAGTCTGTGACTAGGCCTCATGGTGGATAAGGGCCTGATCAACCAGGCTGTTACTGCTGGCCACACGCAATCCAATGTACGAACCACAGCCCGGGTGGTCAGTACCGACTAAGTGCCTGTTTAGTGCCTGCTTGAAGACAGCCAGGAGTCTGTTGGTAATCCCCCCTTATGTATACTGGGAGGCAGTTGAACAGTCTTGGACACCTGACACTTTATTGTGTTGTCTCTTAACATGCTAGTGGCACCCCTGCTTTTCATTGGGGGGATGTTGCATCGTCTGCCGAGTCTTTTGCTTTCGTAGGGAGTGATTTTCATTTGCAAGTTTGGTACTAATCCTTCTAGGATTTTCCAAGTGTATATAATCATGTATCTCTCCCGCCTGCATTCTGGGCAGTACAGGTTTAGGAACTTCAAGCGTTCTCAGTAATTTAGGTGTTTTATCGCAGTTATGCATGCCATGAAGGTTCTCTGTACATTTTCTAGGTCAGCAATTTCACCTACCTTGAAAGGTGCAGTTAATGTACAGCAATATTCCAGCCTAGATAGAACAAGTGACCTGAAGAGTGTTATCATGGACTTGGCATCCCTGGTTTTGAAGGTTCTCATTATTCATCTTGTCATTTTTCTAGCAGATGCAATTGATACAATGTTATGGTCCTTGAAGGTTAGATCCTCTGACATGATCACTCCAAGGTCTTTGACATTAGTCTTTTGCCCTATTGTGTGGTTGGAATTTGTTTTATACTCTGATGAAATTTTAATTTCCTCACGTTTTCCATATCAGAGTAATTGATATTTCTCATCGTTGAACTTCATATAGTTTTCTGCAGCCCATTTAAAAATTTGGTTGATGTCTGCCTGGAGTCTTGCAGTGTCTTCAGTGGAGAACACTGTCATGCAGATTTGGGTGTCACCTGCAAAGGAAGACATGGCACTGTGGCTTACATCCATGTCTATGTGCGATATGAGGATGAGGAACAAGATGGGGGCGAGTACTGTGCCTTGTGGAACAGAGCTTTTCACCGTAGCCGCCTCAGCCTTTACTCTGTTGACTACTACTCTTTGTGTTCTATTTGTTAGGAAATTATAGATCCATCTACCAACTTTTCCTGTTATTCCTTTATCACACATTTTGTGCGCTATTACACCATGGTCACACTTGTCAAAGGCTTTTGCAAAGTCTGTATATTACATCTGCATTCTGTTTGTCTTCTAGAGCATCCAGGACCTAGTCGTAGTGGTCCAGTAGTTGGGACAGACAGGAGCGACCTGCACTAAACCCATGCTGCCCTGGTTTGTGTAATTGATGGGTATCTAGAGGGTGTGATCTTCGTTCTTAGAACCCTTTGAAAGATTTTTGTGATATGGGACGGTAGCACTATTGATCTGAAGTTCTTTTTGCTATTGCTTTTCTGCCCCCTTTGTGGAGTGGGGCTATGGCTGTTGTTTTTAGTAACTGTGGGATGACCCCAGTGTCCATGCTCCCCCTCCATAGGATGGTAAAAGCACGTGCTAGGGGCTTCCTGCAGTTCTTGATGAACATGGAGTTCCATGAGTCTGGGCCTGGGGCATAGTGCATGGGCATGTCATTTATTGCCTTTTCAAAGTCATTTTGGGTCAGGATAATTTCTGATAGGTGTGTGTCTACCAAATTCTGTCTCTCATAAAAAATTAATTTAGGTCTTCGACTCTCATTTGGTTAGCGGCTTGCTAAAAACTGAGTCATATTGGGACTTGAGTAGCTCACTCATTTCCTTGCTGTCATCTGTGTAGGACCCATCTCGTTTAAGTAGGGGCCTAGTACTGGATGTTGTTCTTGACTTTGATTTGGCAAAAGAAAAGAAATACTTGGGGTTTCTTTTCATTTCATTTATGGCTTTTAGTTCTTCCCGCATTTCTTAACTCCTGTAAGATTCCTTAGCTTTAGTTCGATGTTTGCTATTTCTCTGACCAGTTTCTCCCTTCGTATTTCAGATATATTGGCCTCTTATAGCCGCTCTGTTATTCTTGTTATTCTTTGATAGGAGGAAAATGACACATGATAACCACATTATATGACACAATTGTTGTGATGTTATGTCAATTAACAGAAAGAAGAGCTGCTGTAATGATACTCTAAGTTTTCTTGATAATAATAGATAAAATTAATTGTTTATAAGAAGTAATAAGTGCTACAAACAGGGTAAATATGAAAAACTTTACAATGGAAAATACTGAAAATGGGTCACCATTTATCTCATAAACCTCTAAACTCATTGGTTTTTTAGTGATTAAGGCTTCAGGCTGTCTGTTAGCCATGGCCAAGTCTCTGACTTGCCAGGCTCTTGGTGATTGCTCCTGCAGTTGAAAATAGGTAATCACAGCACTCACTGCATACTCAAGTGCCAGGTAACATTTGTGTATATGTTCCTTCAGCCCTGTAGTTCAGTTGGTGGCATCCTCAGCTTGTATACTGAGAATCTGTGGTTTAATCCCCAGCATGGCTTTATAAAAAATATCTATAAAATAAAGTTGTACACTTACTTTGTAACAATATGAGAAGGGAGGAATTGCACATGTGGCTGCCTCCCTTCAAAGAAAAGGATTTGACAGCATCGTGTGTAACGAGAGAAAATGATGTTGGATTTGCAACATTATTTAAATGCTTCGTTTGAACAATTATCAATATGCTGTACTGTTTGGGAAGAAGTCACTATAAAAACTTCATTTCCTACATGAAAAAAAATGCAATGATGAAAGTTAACAGAGCAGAAATACCTAACACTTCCACATGTTTACGCTAACATCTTATGAAGAACCATTTGCTCAGAAGGTGTGTGTGTCAACGAACAAAAGCCCTTTGGTGTTTCTCCTCTCTTGATTCTTTCACTGTGCTCTATACAAGTTTATTTAAATATATTTATTGTGAATAACCCTTCTCAATTGGCAGGTGGAAGTGTCCTACATGTGAAACTGAACATGAGAGCCATTTGGCACCTGCCACATCTTATACCATGGCTGCCTATGTTAGTGGTGATGAGTGTCCTCTTGACCAGTGCCTTGTGGATCTGCAAACTGAGACTCAGACTGGGGTGTCCTTAGTGTGTGGTTCTGACAGCAACAGTCCAGGAGGATGTGGGGCAAGGGTGAAAGCAGATCGCATTGTAACACCAAAAATTCAGACTTTACCAACCATTCTAGTCATCAGGAATAATAGCCTTATGTAAGCATTATTATACTTGGACATGCCCTATTATTAGTTGATTGAATTGATATACATTAGCACCTGCAATTTAAGATATTTGTGTTCATGAGATATTGATGTTGTATGCTGTTTTTAGCTCTGGCCTTAAAGACTTAATACCTATGCATGCAGCATTTGGGGAAAATCAGGTATCTTGTATAATCTCATGCTTCACAATGCTTAAAGAACGAAAAAGGAAATACTAGATAAAAGTAATGAGAAACCACGGAATAGTTGGGGATTGAACTCATGGCAAGTGAGTTCACCACAGCCATGCTGGTGTGAAATTCATCTGTAAAAACTTGCATTTGTGGTCACATAGGGGCCCATGCTTACATCCCTATGGTGTATAGAAATATACCTAGTTAGATGAATCTCATTGTGGCCAGCTGGCCCAGTGGCTTACGCACTGGCCTGGAGTTTTACGACTCACTCACCACGAGTTCAATTACCACCTGTTCCATGGTTTGTTGACAATCATGTTATTAGGATTTTGTGAGTCAAGTTAAAAGCGATGACATTTAATTTAAACCCTAAAATTCGGTTAAGATGAGATATTTCTCCAATCCTGCCTTTACTTGGTATTATCAGCTAAGTCTGTTTACTAAGTAACAATTTAGGTTTGATAATTCTTGTTGAACACAGCATGCATGGGGCTATTAAAGGTCAAATGAGGTAATGTTTGCTCACTTTCTTTACCTCCTCTTTTGCTTGTATTGTACTTCCTTAAATTTGTTATGGGTGTCTAAGTCATACGTATTGTAATTGTAATTTAGAAATTTAATTTTTTCCCTTATTGTTTCAATCTGATTACAGCAGCCTGTTTTATATTCTTAGAAAGACGGGCTAATTATTAGGTGTTGGATTCAAAACATTAGAGATGGGTAAGTTGCCATTATTTATGTTTATGTTATTTATGTATCTGGAAAACATTTCAACATACTGCATTTATTTCACTTACCCTAAAATGTGTGTATTACTTGGGAGTTTTCTGGACAACTGGTTCACCAAAAACCCACATTTAGGATTGGAACCTTGCAAAGATGTTTTGGTCCCTCCTGGAGCATTGTCATGTTAAATTTGGGGAGAGGAAAGTTGAGAAGGCCTAAAAACACAGCTTCTGCTACTACCACTGCTGCAACTTCTGCTACTATTACCAATGCTACAACTTCTTCTGCTACTATTACCAATGCTGCAACTTCTGCTGCTACTATTACCGCTTCCTTCTTCCCCCCCCGACCTCTACCGTATTGTTTTTAGGTCTCTGCTTTTTCTCTCCTCGGTTGTGATTTAACCCTTTGACTGTTTCGGTCGTATATATACGTCTTACGAGCCACTGTGTTTGACGTATATATACTCATAAATTCTAGCGGCTTTGAATCAAGCAGGATAAAGCTGGTAGGCCCACGTGCGAGAGACTGGGTCTGTGTGGTCAGTGTGCACCATATAAAAAAAATTCTGCAGCATGCAGTGCATAATGAGAAAAAACAACTCCGACCATTTTTTTTTTAATTAAAATGCCGAATTTGTGGTCTATTTTTGTATAGTATTTATGGTTGTATTCTCGTATTCGTGGTCTCATTTGATAGAATGGAAAACTTATTATGGAAATAGAGGTGATTTTAATTGGTTTTACTATGAAAAGAACCTTGAAATGGAGCTCAAAGTAGGGGATATGTTTGATTTTTGCTGATGTTCAAAAGTAAACAAATGATGTCATTTTCCAATAAATGTCCAAGTAGCCATTCTAATATGCAGTCATGAATTTGTTGACATTATTTGTACAATTATTACGATATTGTAGTAGTCCGCATAACAGTAAATCTTCTATTTTTTGTTTGAATAAAAATTCAAAATAGAAAGCAAGAGTAATATCGGAGGGGCCTGGAGACGTGACTGATGAACAAAGAAAATGTTATTTTAGAGCCAGGAATGTCTGCATTGTTCATTCTGGACCTTATTTTGAAATTGTCATATTTTTTAATTTTCGTGAAATTGGCCAACTTGCAAATTTCTGACCACGTTATTGGGTAGTTGAAATAGGTAAATGAGAGTTTCTTGTACAAAATCGATAGAAAAAATGGAGTTCCAAAGAAATAGCTATGAGTTTGGTCGACTGGAACAATGGAATTAGCCGAAAATAGGGCTCAAAGTGGGCGAAATCGCCGATTTGTAAATATCGCCGAGGTTGCTAACTTCGCGATGGCATAATTCCGTCAGTTTTCCATCAAATTTCGTTCTTTTGGTGTCATTACAATCAGGAAAAGATTGTCTATCATTTCATAATTTTTTTTTTTTTTTTTTTTTTTGGGTGGGGGGGAATTTTGCGACACCAGGACACCTCAGGATTGGGGGTTGCGACAGTCAAGGGGTTAACAATGATACAGGATGGACTGAAACATCATCAGAAGGTTTCTTTCCTAATTGTGAGGTTTTGGTAAATTGCTCCAGTCATGGTATTGTGAGTTATTTTTTAGAAATACAGTACTTTAACCTACAATGTTAGGGATTCTGTAACCTACAATGTTATGGATTCTTTAACCTACAATGCTAGGGATTCTTTAACCTACAATGTTAGGGATTCTTTAACCTACAGTGTTAGGGATTCTTTAACCTACAATGTTAGGGATTCTTTAACCTACAATGTTTGGGATTTCTTAACCTACAATGTTAGGGATTCTTTAATCTGCAATGTTAGGGATTCTTTAACATACAGTGTTAGGGATTTTTTAATACATTACAAGATACATTTTCTACACTATTTGATTAGGATATAAATACCTTACTGTTGCATGGTATATATTTTGGTGCTTTTGTCTGAGGGATTACATTCACTATAAAATTATTTTTTAAAACAAATTATAATTGAAATGTGGAAATTTTGTTATTTGGCTTTATTGCATTTTTAGGGGAAGTTTTGAAAACAATTGAATCATTTAAGTGTTTGTGAATGTGATGTGGGTAAAAAAAGTAGATTGTAGGTTAGTAGACAGAAGCCACCCTGGAGAGTACCACTGTGCTGTTGTAAGAAGGTGATTGCTTGTTAAAGTTCCACCAAGTGTAACAACAATGTATGTACAGTATCTCTTTTATTTGTTTGTGGCTCTGGAATCATAATTCATTATGGCTCAGTCTTAGACAAAAAATTAAAAAGGAGATATTTACAGAAATAAAAACCACTTTACTCAGAAATACAGTTTTTCACTGAATATATGAAGTTGGTAAGATTTTCCTGCCATCTTTTGTATTCATGAGGCTAAGAATAGTCTAGTAATCTGCCAGGTTGCTTGATCAAGTAACAGGCTGTGTGAGTGGTAGATAAGAGTTAGTGGAAACACATGGTTTTTAATAGATGTGCTATTGGAGTGTGAGCAAAGTAATTTTTGAAGGGATTCAGGGAAACCAGTTAGCTGGACTTAAGTCCTGGAGGTGGAAAGAGCAGTACCTGCACTCTGTGTTGCAGTTGGAGGGTAATCTAAATTAGTATGTCGGCACACTTCTGAAAAGACAGCAGTAGAATGAATGATGGTGAATATGCTTTCTTCTTTGGGTCATCCTGCCTTGGCGGGAAATGGTTGTTGAGGTAAAAAAAAAAAAAGTATGCTGTTACAAAAAGGCGATATCTGTAAAGTATAGACATCTCCAGAGAATACTAGAAGGTCTTACCCTCTAGCATTCAGCCTGTTTCTGGTTTTTGTAACAAGTTGTTGGATTAAGATCAGGTCTTGTTATCCCTTGTATTGAGTAAATATTGTTAGAGTTTTGGGATTACAGATAGGTGATAAAAATCCAACGAAATAAAAATTGAGATGTTTATTAACAAAGATGTCTGGGTGAACAAAATGAAAGTAAATGAATTTGATATAATTTAGTATATAAGCTCCTACACATCTCTTGCAGTACAAAGATAACTTGTACATATGGTAATATAGTGCTCGGGGCACTTTTCATATCAGTATAACTCGTAAGTACTGTGTGGTATATTATCATCAATTATAAAACTAATATTAGCATATACAAGCATGTGTGAATGTGTCCATGTGAGCTCAAAGTGCTCATTATGTCTCATTAAGACTAGACTCAACTTAGACTTAAAAAGTGACTGACTAAATATCCTCCAATAACCTATCTTCTTGACCAACAAGGCAATCACAACAGCTTGCTTGAATAATATGAGGAATCATTTGCCAACAGCAATAAGGTAACAAGCATCAGCACAGCGTCTGGAACAAAGAGACAAAATAACGACCCTAACTGGGGACCATCAGCAGATCCTCTTTAAAAGTCATAAAACTCCTTTAACCCGTAAACGGTCCAAACGTATATATACGTTTTTTCAACATTTGAAAGTATGTAAAAAAAAAGTAGATTTTTTTTTTTTTTTTACATTTGAAAACGTGTAAAAAAACTTTGATCTACGTTTTTTTTTTGTTAGATTTGAAAATATGTAAAAAAAACGTAGTTCTACTTTTGGAGCACTACGCATATGAACGTAGATCTGCTTGGACCGTTTACGGGTTAATACTGAATCTAAGTTCAGCATAACCAAATTCATGACTACGATGGTGCATAGATGCCACACAAAGTAGGTTTGAAGCTTTAACTTGGGACCTGGGTTAACTTAGAGCATCAGTACGATACACAACCTCAGCAAAACGTCATAAAGCACTAAGTCTGAACTATGCTCTTTGAACAAAGATATACAGAGTTACAAGAAGTATGTTTTGAATCTCCAGCGAAACTGCTCTACCAAAACAGAATGTAAATAACGAATAAAGAGCAAGAGAGAGAGAGAGAGAGAGTGAGAGTGAGAGTGAGAGTGAGAGTGAGAGTGAGAGTGAGTGAGAGTGAGAGTGAGAGTGAGAGAGAGAGAGAGAGAGAGTAGAGAGAGAGAGAGAGGAGAGAGAGAGAGAGAGTGAGAGAGAGAGAGAGAGTGAGAGAGAGAGAGAGAGAGAGAGAGAGAGAAAGAGAGAGAGAGAGAGAGAGTGAGTGAGTGAGTGAGTGAGTGAGTGAGTGAGTGAGTGAGTGAGTGAGTGAGTGCTGGTCAAGCAATGACCAGCTGAGGAGAGACAACAATTTCTCGACAACAGGCCTCACATCAGGTGAAATCATGTGACTCACCTGTGCTACTCCATCGAGGTGCAAGGTACAGCCTGACACAAGCAAGCGGTACTTAGCAAGGCAGTTTGTAATAGTGGACAGCCAATCACAACTCTTCACCAGCGAGCACAGTGAGAAGTGTAAATATTACATCCTACCTAATGAAGTAGCTAATATAATAAGTCAGATAATAATATAAAGCAAGATACACAAATAACCCGCACATAAAAGAGAGAAGTTTACGACGACGTTTCGGTCCGACTTGGACCATTTACAAAGTCACACTAACCAGAAGTGGAGCAGGACGGCTATATATATCATATCGTTCCAGTCACGGTATTGTGCCTTTTTTTGTTATTTATGAAGCAAGATATTTTCATTTTAGCTATTAATGAAGATATCAGCACTATGAAATTATATTGGTCCCCATTCAGGGGGTGCAATATATTCAAACATACATACATAAATACCTACCTATACACCTGCATACAGATATACCTACCTATACACATGCATACAGTAAGATCCCAGCTTGCAATGTTAAGCTTCACCGAAAATTCATCAGAAGTCAAATGTTTGATATGCAATGCCTATTTTCCCAGAAGAAATAATGTTGAGTGGTTTAATGTGTTCCTGAACCCTAATTTTCCATATCTAATTTCAGTTAATTTTTACCAATATTAATATGTATTTTCAGTCTCATATGCAGTTAAACAATATTTCAATTAATCACATCTTAAAATAATAGGAATAAAGTACGCACTCACAATGCATTGTATTGTGCTCTAAATGTTGATTCTGTTATACTTGTTTTATTTTGTGTTTATTATAAGCTTTGTTGTTGGAATGTGAGCAGGGTAACATGAAGGCATTTAGGGTGTACATGCACATCTGGCAAGACAGTGATGGAGTAAATGATGATGATAGCGTTTCTTCTTTTTTTGGCGTCGCCCTGCCATGGTGGGAAATGGTCATTGTGCTAATAAAATGTATATATATGGTGGGCAATGTGTGGTGTGAATATATTGCAGAGAATTCGTAGTTTGGAAGTTAGGAGGAGGTGCGGGATTAACAAAACTGTTGTCCAGAGGGCTGAGGAAGGGTTGTTGAGGTGGTTCGGACATGTAGAGAGAATGGAGCGAAACAGAATGACTTCAAGAGTGTATCAGTCTGTAGTGGAAGGAAGGCGGGGTAGGGGTCGGCCTAGGAAAGGTTGGAGGGAGGGGGTAAAGGAGGTTTTGTGTGCGAGGGGCTTGGACTTCCAGCAGGCGTGCGTGAGCATGTTTGATAGGAGTGAATGGAGACGAATGGTTTTTAATACTTGACGTGCTGTTGGAGTGTGAGCAAAGTAACATTTATGAAGGGGTTCAGGGAAACCGGCAGGCCGGACTTGAGTCCTGGAGATGGGAAGTACAGTGCCTGCACTCTGAAGGAGGGGTGTTAATGTTGCAGTTTAAAAACTGTAGTGTAAAGCACCCTTCTGGCAAGACAGTGATGGAGTGAATGATGGTGAAAGTTTTTCTTTTTCGGGCCACCCTGCCTTGGTGGGAATCGGCCAGTGTGATAATAAATAAATAAATAAAAAATATATATATAAAGTTTTGTAAGTAGTATCACACTTATTTGTAATTGATTGCTTTCACAGTGCTATTGTCATAAGTGCAAAATGTCATAACTTGGAATACCGTTAATTGTGGCCCCTCTGTGTGTACATATTGTATTTAACATATCACTAGTGTCCCACCAAGGTATGGTGTTATCTGAAATAGAGTACTTGTTTAGTCTCACTTGTCTCTGGCTTGTTTTCAGAAGAGCACAGATACTGTTGCTATAAGCATGCAAGATTGCTTAAAGCCAATGAGGGGTTCTAGATCCAAGGAATTGGACAACTTGAGTGCCTCCCATTCCCCAGGCACTGTATAACCCCTACAGGTTTAGTGCCCTCTCATCCTAAATATAATAAAAATAGTAATAATACAGTAACATTTATGAAGGGAATCAGGGAAACCGGCAGGCTGGACTTGAGTACTGGAAATGGGAAGTACAGTGTCTGCACTCTGAAGGAGGGGTGTTAAAGTTGCCATTTTGTAACTGTAGTGTAGGCATGCCTCTGGCAAGACAGTAATGGAGTGAATGATGATGAAAGTTTTTCTTTTTTGGGCCACCCTGCCTTGGTGGGAAACAGCCAATGTGTTAATAAAAAAAAAATACAGTTTAAGCATACAGTTCATTTAAGACAGATAAACCACTTTGAAACATACATTATTTATTTTTCTTCTCTGATATATTATTTGAAAAGATTGTTTATTTAACGATATGTAATCCAGGGATCGTGACCTGAAGCGGCGTCTGCATGTGGTGTACCCTGAAACCCTCGACTTGACATCTCATACACTGAATCATGTAGCGGCAACATATACACTCTCTGCTGTGATCTTTCATCATGGTCATTGGGTAAAACATTTCTCAGGTATGTAATACTGTTGCTTTGTGAATATATGTAGAAATGGGTCAAAGACTTATTAACTCTGTGTAAAAGATACTTTCCATTGCACAGTAGTGCTGAACTCTACAAATGATACTGTATAAATTCTAGGCATTAAAGTTGAAAATAGAAATTCTGTAATTATACTAGTATATAAACCACCTTCAGCAACTACTGAGGAATTCATAGATCAATTAAGGAAAATAGATAACTATCTGGATAGGATAGAAAATCCCACACCAAATATTTTACTCCATGGAGATTTTAATCTGTTATGCAGTAGAGTGTTCTTGTTTCATCAGCCATTACATTTAGGTTTAGTTGATTTTTTGGAGGGTTTAAGTAACCCAACACTGTCTTTAAATTTTTTAAAGATGCCTCACTGGGCCACCTTCCTTTTTTTTCCTTGTCTATTCTGTGGTTTACCTTATTGTACATAGACCAGAGTGGTGACATATCCACTCTACTGTGATAATTCCTTTTTTGTATTAGATTGGGCATCTTCTAATCCCACACTTCTTCCCAACACCCTGGTAGTCACGTCTTTTACAACCCCATCGATAAATATGTTAAACGACCACATTGACGTCATGCATCCCTGTCTGAGGCTCCACTTTAACTGTGAAGTAGTTTTTCTCTGTCCTATATACTTTACCTGAGCCTTGCTATCCAATTAAAAAATTTACTTTTTTTTTTTTTAGTAGCCTATGGCCTATTCCATAGATTTTCAACATTTGCCACATTGCCTCCCTATCCATTATATCTAGCCTTTTCTAAATCTGTGAATGCCACAAACATTTCCTTAACTTTATCTAAGTATTGCTCACTTATATGCTTCATTGTAAACACTTTGTATACACAAACAACTAATAAAACAAACAGTTACAGACTACTACTTTTCGTGTCTCTTACCAAGAGAACAACATCCAGTGGCACTCACATTGTGTGAACTGCAATGAAGGCTTAAAAGGGAATTTTGGCCACATAATGTAAATTACTGATAGAATGAGGTTTTCACATGTAAGAGGGCTCTTGTTTGAAGAATCCATTCACGAGCACACCTGCACTGTTTAGCTTTATTGCTAATCATCATTTATATTCTGTTTTACCACCTGTGGGTGTGTGTTTGTAGCATTACTAATGGTAATTACATTGTGATTTCACAGCTCATGTGAAAACTCAAAATAACAAATGGTACAACTTCAATGACGAGCAAGTGTCGGAATTGACAAACCGATCAACGGCGGGGAACCCTCCAGAGAGTCACCGCAACTACTTTAGCATAGGTAAGTTAAAATAAATGTTTTAGGTTTTAATTCTAACACTGAGTCATTGAATCAGGTACTGAAAGGGGTTTTTCATTTTTCAAAATGCACTTTTTTTAATGATTATTTTTCACCATGAGTTGAATATCTTCCAGTGATAATATTAACCCATGAACTGTGGCAGACTCAGGAATAAAAATTCATGTGTGGGGGCAAAATTATGAAAAAAATTTTCTTATAGACTGAAAGAGCCTATTTCTTTAAGTAGAATCATAGAAAGAGAATTGAAATCAAATTGAAACTTCCAGTTTTATGGTATGTTGAAGCAGGCAAAAAGAAAAAAAGATAACTCATTGGCAATTTCGGCATAAATTTGCATAGTAGTATTTATGTTTTTCAGTTTATTTACTCCAAATTATGATTGTTTTTACAAAAAATTTTCTGTTCTCCTTATCTAATGCTGTGTTCACCATTTTGTTGGGACAGTAGGTATTTTTAAGTTTTTTTTAGCACTCTAAATATGGGGATTTTCTTTCTTATTGGGTCATCCTACCTCAATGGGAGACGGCTGACTTGTTGAAAAAAAAAAAAACATTATACTCCATAGCCTCAGTTGCAATACATTATTATTATTTATTTTTATTATCACACTGGCCGATTCCCACCAAGGCAGGGTGGCCCGAAAAAGAAAAACTTTCACCATCATTCACTCCATCACTGTCTTGCCAGAAGGGTGCTTTACACTACAGTTTTTAAACTGCAACATTAACACCCCTCCTTCCGAGTGCGGGCACTGTACTTCCCATCTCCAGGACTCAAGTCCGGCCTGCCGGTTTCCCTGAACCCCTTCATAAATGTTACTTTGCTCACACTCCAACAGCACGTCAAGTATTAAAAACCATTCGTCTCCATTCACTCCCATCAAACACCCTCATGCACACCTGCTGGAAGTCCAAGCCCCTCGCACACAAAACCTCCTTTACCCCCTCCCTCCAACCTTTCCTAGGCTGACCCCTACCCCGCCTTCCTTCCACTACAGACTGATACACTCTTGAAGTCATTCTGTTTCGCTCCATTCTCTCTACATGTCCGAACCACCTCAACAACCCTTCCTCAGCCCTCTGGACAACAGTTTTGGTAATCCCGCACCTCCTCCTAACTTCCAAACTACGAATTCTCTGCATTATATTCACACCACACATTGCCCTCAGACATGACATCTCCACTGCCTCCAGCCTTCTCCTCGCTGCAACATTCATCACCCATGCTTCACACCCATATAAGAGTGTTGGTAAAACTATACTCTCATACATTCCCCTCTTTGCCTCCAAGGACAAAGTTCTTTGTCTCCACAGACTCCTAAGTGCACCACTCACCCTTTTCCCCTCATCAATTCTATGATTCACCTCATCTTTCATAGACCCATCTGCTGACACGTCCACTCCCAAATATCTGAATACATTCACCTCCTCCATACTCTCTCCCTCCAATCTGATATCCAATCTTTCATCACCTAATATTTTTGTTATCCTCATAACCTTACTCTTTCCTGTATTCACTTTTAATTTTCTTCTTTTGCACACCCTACCAAATTCATCCACCAATCTCTGCAACTTCTCTTCAGAATCTCCCAAGAGCACAGTGTCATCAGCAAAGAGCAACTGTGACAACTCCCACTTTATGTGTGATTCTTTATCTTTTAACTCCACGCCTCTTGTCAAGACCCTCGCATTTACTTCTCTTACAACCCCATCTATAAATATATTAAACAACCACGGTGACATCACACATCCTTGTCTAAGGTCTACTTTTACTGGGAAATAATTTCCCTCTTTCCTACATACTCTAACTTGAGCCTCACTATCCTCGTAAAAACTCTTCACTGCTTTCAGTAACCTACCTCCTACACCATATACCTGCAACATCTGCCACATTGCCCCCCTATCCACCCTGTCATACGCCTTTTCCAAATCCATAAATGCCACAAAGACCTCTTTAGCCTTATCTAAATACTGTTCACTTATATGTTTCACTGTAAACACCTGGTCCACACACCCCCTACCTTTCCTAAAGCCTCCTTGTTCATCTGCTATCCTATTCTCAGTCTTACTTTTAATTCTTTCAATAATAACTCTACCATACACTTTACCAGGTATACTCAGCAGACTTATCCCCCTATAATTTTTGCACTCTCTTTTGTCCCCTTTGCCTTTATACAAAGGAACTATGCATGCTCTTGCCAATCCCTAGGTACCTTACCCTCTTCCATACATTTATTAAATAATTGCACCAACCACCCCAAAAACTATATCCCCACCTACTTTTAACATTTCTATCTTTATCCCATCAATCCCGGCTGCCTTATCCCCTTTCATTTTACCTACTGCCTCACGAACTTCCCCCACACTCAGAACTGGCTCTTCCTCACTCCTACAAGATGTTATTCCTCCTTGCCTATACACGAAATCACAGCTTCCCTATCTTCATCTACATTTAACAATTCTCAAAATATTCCCTCCATTTCCCAATACCTCTAACTCTCCATTTAATAACTCTCCTCTTCCTATTTTTAACTGACAAATCCATTTGTTCTCTAGGCTTCCTTAACTTGTTAATCTCACTCCAAAACTTTTCTTATTTTCAACAAATTTGTTGATAACATCTCACCCACTCTCTCATTTGCTCTCTTTTTACATTGCTTCACACTCTCTTAACCTCTCTCTTTTTCTCCATATACTCTTCCTCCTTGCATACTTCTACTTTGTAAAAATTCTCATATGCTAACTTTTTCTCCCTTACTACTCTCTTTACATCATCATTCCACCAATCGCTCCTCTTCCCTCCCGCACCCACTTTCCTGTAACCACAAACTTCTGCTGAAACTCTAACACTACATTTTTAAACCTACCCATACCTCTTCGGACCCCATTGCCTATGCTCTCATTAGCCCATCTATCCTCCAATAGCTGTTTATATCTTTCCCTAACTGCCTCCTCTTTTAGTTTATAAACCTTCACCTCTCTCTTCCCTGATGCTTCTATTCTCCTTGTATCCCATCTACCTTTTACTCTCAGTGTAGCTACAACTAGAAAGTGATCTGATATATCTGTGGCCCCTCTATAAACATGAACATCCTGAAGTCTACTCAACAGTCTTTTATCTACCAATACATAATCCAACAAACTACTGTCATTTCACCCTACATCATATCTTGTATACTTATTTATCCTCTTTTTCTTAAAATATGTATTACCTATACATATATTCATGATATAGTATAAAAATATTTTGATTATGTGATACGTGAAGATTATATAGTTTTGTAAGTCGTAGCCTAACATGCTGAGAATTGCTAGAAGTATTATTTTTTCAGCAAATGTGGCCAATAAGTACAAGCATCGCTCAGGACTAAGAGTGTCAAGAGGAGCATTCGTGTGGATTTACGTGCGGAGTAATACCGCCGAAGAAGAAATTGCTCGTGTGTCACCACCTGAATCAGTAGTTGAATATGTTCTTCAAAAACAAGAAGAGAGTATGGTAGGTGAAATTAATTTAAGACTTTAACTATGGCATGCCATGTATTTTTAATTCCCATGTGTATGTGTGTGATGGTATTACAACAGTGTAAGGGTGCAATACTCGTTGAAACATGGTGACTCAGAGTAACACATCACAGCTTTAAAGGAATATCATGTATCTTTTTACTGTCTTAGATGTTCCGGTTGTGTTCATGGGCATGTTCCTGGTGTGTTTCTGTTATTTATCCTATGAAATAAATAAAATTTTGGCTAGTTTTGGTTTCTTTCTAGGTTTTACAAGGATCCTCAATGGAAATAAGTCACTTTGTTTGATTTTTTTGGGTTATCCTACGTAATTTATACTGTGTGATAATAAACTTACATGTACAGGAGGGCTCCGTTTTGCAGCGTTACGCTTTAAGGCGTTTTGCTAATACAGCAGTTTTCAGTTATACCCATTCTTTATTTATTCAGACTTCTACAATAAATATATTCACCACTCAGTATATGTTAAAGACAAAAAAAATTTTATGGTAAGTAATGTGAGCACTTATGCATTTTTTAGGCCTCTCTCTGTTGTTCACTGACTGTATGATAGTGTAAATATGTTATCAGGCTTTCATTTGCATTTGAAAGTAAATAAAGACTATGTTTCACCTTACAGCGATTTTCACTTTGCAGTAGCAGCCTGGAAGTAAACTTGCTGTATAAGTGGGTCCCTACTGTACACATATAGTATTGCCACATCTAAGAGTTAGAAAAACTATTACACTTACTACTTGCAACTTTTTCTGGCACAATATACAAATCTAATTTACATGTGTGGTGACTAAAATAAATGTTACATTTATTGGTATTATGGTATGTTATAATTGATTACTTTTTATTATCAACTGTCTAACCTAACCAAATCTAACCTAAATAATGTTAATTGAGAAATTTACTGAAACCCGTATGTGAGAAATTGACTTAAGATTTAGGACGGGTTAATTGTGAACACAATACAAATAAACTTTAATTTATCATTGCTTCAAAATTCTTGTATGAACATTAAATTTAAATTTATACACAGTATTATTATTATCATCAGGGAAACTGGCTAGCCAGGCTTGAGTCCTGGAGGTGAGAAGTACAATACCTGCACTCTAAAGGAGGGGTTTGGGATACTTGCTGTTTAGAGGGAGATCTAAAATGTTGTATCTGTGTGCCTCGGGCAAGACACTGATAGTATAAGTGATGATGAAAATGTTTCTTTTTTGGGTCACTCTGCCTCAGTGGGAGGCAGCCAGCATGTTAAAAAAAATTATTATTAGTTACAATGTTTCGCTTCAAATAAACACCATTTTGTTGTGACTTAGGAGCAGTAAGTGCAGCATCACTGGCATTCCCACAACTAGCAGGTGATATATCAGATGCTCACCCAGTGATGCCATATGCAGACTCAGAGCTCTTCTTCTTCTTCTTTCAACTAACCAGCCATATCCCACCGAGGCAAGGTGGCCCAAAAAGAAAAACAAAAGTTTCTCTTTTTAATGTTAGTAATGTATACAGGAGAAGGGGTTACTAGCCCCTTGCTCTCGGCATTTTAGTTGCCTCTTATGACACGCATGGCTTGTGGAGGAAAAATTTTGTTCCACTTCCCCATGGAGATAAGAGGAAATAAACAAGAAGAAGAACTAGTAAGAAAATAGAAGAAAACCCAGAGGGGTTGTATATATATTCTTGTACGTGAGTGAATCAAAGTAGAATGACGTGGAGAGCGTATAAATCTGTAGGGGAAGGAAGGCGGGGTAGGGGTCATCCTTGATAAGGTTGGCGGGTACAGGAGGTTTTGTGGGCGAGGGGCTTGGACTTCCAGCAAGCGTGCGTGAGTGTGTTCGAAAGGAATGAATGGAGACGAATGGTATTTGGGACCTGACGAGCTGTTGGAGTATGAGTAGGTTAATATTTAGTGAAGGGATTCAGGGAAACCGGTTATTTTTATATAGCCAGACTTAAGTCCTGGAAATGGGAAGTACAGTGCCTGCACTTTAAAGGAGGGGTTTTGGATATTGGAAGTTTGAAGGGATATGTTGTGTATCTTTTTACGTATATGCTTCTAAATTGTTGCATTCTGAGCACTTCTGCAAAAACAGTGATTATGTGTGAGTGAGGTGAAAATGTTAAATGATGATGAAAGTATTTTCTTTTGGGGGATTTTCTTTCTTTTTGGGTCACCCTGCCTCGGTGGGAGACAGCCGACTTGTTAAAAAAAAAAAATGCATGTGTAATGTGACATAAGTGTAAGTAGAAGTAGCATGATGTACGTGAAATCTTGCATGTTTATGAGACAGAAAAAAAAAGACACCAGCAATCCTACCATCATGTAAAACAATTACAGGCTTTCATTTTACACTCACTTGGAAGGACGGTAGTACCTCCCTGGGCAGTTGCTGTCTCCCAACCTACTACAGTTAGAGCTCTAAGACAGCAAAAATGAAATAGGCATTGAGAAAAACATTTCGTGGTGCAGTTGTCGGCAGACACCACTACCACTGCTGCATATGAGAGGTGCATGTTTCTCTGGATATAAATGCTGAGTTTACTTTAACCCTCTCAGTGTCGGTCCTGTAATATTACAGCTTGAGAGCCAGTGTCTGCCCCATAACACTATGCCAAAATTCTAGCTCCTTCATATCTGGTGGAAGAAAATTGGTAGGCCTAAATATGAAAGAATGGGTCTGCATGATCAGTGTGCGCAGTATAAAAAAATTCTGCAGCATGCAGTACATAATGAGAAATAGAGATGTTTTTGGTTTAAAACAGTGACTTTGCGGTGTATTTTTGTATGGTATTTATGGACGTATTCTCGTTTTCTTGGTCTCATTTGATAGAATGGAAGATATAGTACAGAAATAGAGATGATTTTGATTGGTTTCACGATAAGTACGTGTACCTTGAAATTGAGCTCAAAGTAGTGGAAATATTAGATTATTGGATGTCACTGTCCAATATGTGTCCAACTGGCCAGTCTAATACGCAGTCACTAATAGGTTGACATTATTTATACAATTATTATAATACTGCAGTAGTCCGCATAACAGTAAATCTTCTATTTTTTGTGAGAATAAAAGTTCAAAATGGAAAACGAGTAATATAAGAGGGGTCTGGAGATGTGACTAATGAACAGAGAAAATGTTATTTTAGTGCCAGGAATCTCTGCTTTGTTTATTCTGGACTCTGTTTTGAAATTGGCATCTTTTGAAATATGTGTGAAATTGGTCAAATTGTCAATTTCTGACCACTTTATTGGGTAGTTGAAATTGGTAAATGGGCGATATATTGTTCTCAATCAATAGAACAAATGGAGTTCTAGCAAAATAGCTATGATTTTAGTCGACTGAAACAATGGAATTGGCCAAAAATTGGGCTCAAAGTGGGCTAAATCACCGATGTGTAAATATCACCGAGATTGCTAACTTGGCAAGAGCGTAATTTCGTAAGTTTTTCATCAAATTTCATAATTTTGGCATTATTACAATCAGGAAAAGATTTTCTTATCATTTCCTAAGATTTTTTTTTGAAAATTTTTTAGATACTGAGTTAAGGATCAAGGGTCTCGACACTGGAGGGTTAATACCTGTCTTAAGAGATTAGAGTATCCTTGGCTGGTGATGTACAGGTTACATGCAACCTAATGAGGGTTGTGTAGCCAAAAACTTTAAACACATAGAAACACTAGTGTGTGTGTCAAAGTACACAGTATGTATTTCCTACTGTGTTCATATTTCTTTTACTTTTTCTTCATTTTCACTTTATCATGTGCATTTATTTGTGGTGTACTCATTTGTTGTAAGTGTGGTAGGTAGCTATTTGTTTGGTACAGTTTGGTCAATAAACGTGGAATTTCACTTATCAAATTACTTATGCTTTTATTTTGGAACCATTATTATGTACTCAGTTCCTTCCAAAGCAGGAGAGAGAACTGGATTGCTCTCACCATCATGTTTCCTCCTGTTGCCACTCTCCTGCCACTGCATCTAAGTGTCATTTACTCCCATTTTAGTATTTACTTATCAACTCATTACTAATAAATAATCTTATAAACTCTTGGTAGTAGGTTGGTAGACAGCAGCCACCCAGGGAGGTACTACCGTCCTGCCAAGTGAATGTAAAACAAAGCCTGTAATTGTTTTACATGATGGTAGGATTGCTGGTGTTTTTTGTATGTCTCATAAATATGCAAGATTACAGGTATGTCTTGCTACTTCTACTTACACTTAGGTCACACTACACATACATGTACACGTTTATTTATACACACTCATCTGAGTTTTCTTTGATTTTATCTTAATAGTTCTTGGTCTTATTACTTTTCCTTTTATATCCATGGGGAAGTGGAATAAGAATCTTTCCTCTGTAAGCCATGCGTGTTGTAAAAGTCAACTAAAATGCCGGGAACAATGGGCTAGTAACCCCTTTTCCTGTAAAGATTACTAAAAAGAATAATAATAAGAAAATTGTCAAAGTGGGAAGTCTGAATGTGCATGGATGTTGTGCAAATGATAAGAAAGAGATGATTGTGGATGTTATGAATGAGAAGAAGCTGGATGTCCTGGCTTTAAGTGAAACAAAGCTGAAGGGGGTGGGAAAGTTTCAGTGGAGAGGAATAAATGGGATTAGGTCAGGGGTTTCAAATAGAGTTAGAGCTAAAGAAGGAGTAGCAATAATGTTGAAGGATAAGATATGGCAGGAAAAGAGGGACTACAAATGTATTAAATCAAGGATTATGTGGAGTAAAATAAAGGTTGGATGTGAAAAGTGGGTTATAGTAAGTGTATATGCACCTGGAGAAGAGAGAAGTGTAGAGAGAAAGAGGAGAGAGAGAGATTTTGGGAAATGTTGAGTGAATGCATGGGGAGTTTTGAACCAAGTGTGAGAGTACTTGTGGTTGGGGATTTCAATGCTAAAGTGGGTAAAAATGTTGTGGAGGGAGTAGTAGGTAAATTTGGGGTGCCAGGGGTAAATGTAAATGGGGAGCCTTTAATTGAGCTATGTGTAGAAAGAGATTTGGTAATAAGTAATACATATTTTATGAAAAAGAGGATAAATAAATATACAAGATATGATGTAGCACATAATGAAAGTAGTTTGTTAGATTATGTATTGGTGGATAAAAGGTTAATGGGTAGGCTCCAGGATGTACATGTTTATAGAGGGGCAACTGATATATCGGATCATTATTTAGTTGTAGCTACAGTTAGAGTAAGAGGTAGATGGGACAAGAGGAAGGTTGGCAACAACAAGTATGAGGGAAGTGAAAGTGTATAAACTAAGGGAGGAGGAAGTTCGGGTGAGATATAAGCGACTATTGGCAGAAAGGTGGGCTAGTGCAAAGATGAGTAGTGGGGGGGTTGAAGAGGGTTGGATGAGTTTTAAAAATGCAGTATTAGAATGTGGGGCAGAAGTTTGTGGTTATAGGAGGGTGGGGGCAGAAGGAAAGAGGAGTGATTGGTGGAATGATGAAGTAAAGGGTGTGATAAAAGAGAAAAAGTTAGCTTATGAGAGGTTTTTACAAAGCAGAAGTGTTATAAGAAGAGCAGAGTATATGGAGAGTAAAAGAAAGGTGAAGAGAGTGGTGAGAGAGTGCAAAAGGAAAGCAGATGATAGAGTGGGAGAGGCACTGTCAAGAAATTTTAATGAAAATAAGAAAAAATTTTGGAGTGAGTTAAACAAGTTAAGAAAGCCTAGGGAACGCATGGATTTGTCAGTTAAAAACAGAGTAGGGGAGTTAGTAGATGGGGAGAGGGAGGTATTAGGTAGATGGCGAGAATATTTTGAGGAACTTTTAAATGTTGAGGAAGAAAGAGAGGCAGTAATTTCATGCACTGGCCAGGGAGGTATACCATCTTTTAGGAGTGAAGAAGAGCAGAATGTAAGTGTGGGGGAGGTACGTGAGGCATTACGTAGAATGAAAGGGGGTAAAGCAGCTGGAACAGATGGAAACATGACAGAAATGTTAAAAGCAGGGGGGATATAGTGTTGGAGTGGTTGGTGCTTTTGTTTAATAAATATATGAAAGAGGGGAAGGTACCTAGGGATTGGCGGAGAGCATGTATAGTCCCTTTATATAAAGGGAAGGGGGACAAAAGAGATTGTAAAAATTATAGAGGAATAAGTTTATTGAGTATACCAGGAAAAGTGTATGGTAGGGTTATTATTGAAAGAATTAGAGGAAAGACAGAATGTAGGATTGCGGATGAGCAAGGTGGTTTCAGAGTGGGTAGGAGATGTGTAGATCAAGTGTTTACATTGAAGCATATATGTGAACAGTATTTAGATAAAGGTAGGGAAGTTTTTATTTATGGATTTAGAAAAGGCATATGATAGAGTGGATAGGGGAGCAATGTGGCAGATGTTGCAAGTATATGGAGTAGGACCTTGGTGGTAAGTTACTAAATGCTGTAAAGAGTTTTTATGAGGATAGTGAGGCTCAGGTTAGGGTGTGTAGAAGAGAGGGAGACTACTTCCAGGTAAAAGTAGGCCTTAGACAGGGATGTGTAATGTCACCATGGTTGTTTAATATATTTATAGATAGGGTTGTAAAAGAAGTAAATGCTAGGGTGTTCGGGAGAGGGGTGGGATTAAATTATGGGGAATCAAATACAAAATGGGAATTGACACAGTTACTTTTTGCTGATGATACTGTGCTTATGGGAGATTCTTAAGAAAAATTGCTAAGGTTAGTGGATGAGTTTGGGAGTGTGTGTAAAGGTAGAAAGTTGAAAGTGAACATAGAAAAGAGTAAGGTGATGAGGGTATCAAATGATTTAGATAAAGAAAAATTGGATATCAAATTGGGGAGGAGGAGTATGGAAGAAGTGAATGTTTTCAGATACTTGGGAGTTGACATGTCGGTGGATGGATTTATGAAGGATGAGGTTAATCATAGAATTGATGAGGGAAAAAAGGTGAGTGGTGCGTTGAGGTATATGCTGAGTCAAAAAACGTTATCTATGGAGGCAAAGAAGGGAATGTATGAAAGTATAGTAGTACCAACACTCTTATATGGGTATGAAGCTTGGGTTGTGAATGCAGCAGCGAGGAGGCGGTTGGAAGCAGTGGAGATGTCCTGTCTAAGGGCAATGTGTGGTGTAAATATTATGCAGAAAATTCGGAGTATGGAAATTAGGAGGTGTGGAGTTAATAAAAGTATTAGAGGGCTGAAGAGGGGTTGTTGAGGTGGATTGGTCATTTAGAGAGAATGGATCAAAGTAGAATGACAGGGTGAGCATTTAAATCTGTATGAGAAGGAAGGCGGGGTAGGGGTTGTCCTTGTAAAGGTTGGAAGAAAGGGGTAAGGGAGGTTTTGTGGGCGAGGGGCTTGGACTTCCAGCAGGCGTGCATGAGCGTGTTCGATAGGAGTGAATGGAGATGAATGGTATTTGGGACTTGACGATCTGTTGGAGTGTGAGGAGGGTAATATTTAGTGAAGGGATTCAGGGAGACCGGTTATTTTTATATAGCCGGACTTGAGTCCTGGAAATGGGAAGTACAATGCCTGCACTCTAAAGGAGGGGTTTGGGATATTAGCAGTTTGGAGGGATATGTGGTGTATCTTTATATGTACAGTGGACCCCTGGTTAACGATATTTTTTCACTCCAGAAGTATGTTCAGGTGCCAGTACTGACTGAATTTGTTCCCATAAGGAATATTGTGAAGTAGATTAGTCCATTTCAAACCCCGAAACATACACGTACAAACGCACTTACATAAATACACTTACATAATTGGTCGCATTCGGAGGTGATCGTTATGCGGTGGTCCACTGTATATGCTTCTAAACTGTTGTGTTCTGAGCACCTCTGCGAAAACAGTGATTATGTGTGAGTGAGGTGAAAGTGTTGAATGATGATGAAAGTATATTCTTTTTGGGGATTTTCTTTCTTTTTGAGTCACTCTGCCTCAGTGGGAGATGGCCGACTTGTTGAAAAAAAAAAAAAAACTCATCTTGAAATTTTGGAAAGAATTTTTTGTATAATTTGGTTTTTCTTTGTGTCAGACTGTCAACCACCAACGACAAGCAGAGATGAAGAAGGAAAAAGAAGAGCTTCTTTCCCAGCTAGCTGTATTTGACATGTCAGAAGAGTTTTCTCTGATCTCGGAGCCTCTCCTAAGTGCCTGGTTTAATGACGACGATCTTAAGTACACTCCTCAGCCATCAGTCCTTGCCCAAGCACTCTGTGACCATAAACTTTTCAGTCCACTCAAGTTTCACATGATTAAGTGTGTAAGAACAGAAGGGGTGAGTAAAATTCTGGCTTTGTTTATCTCAATTTGAATTTGTTATTACTGTATCGTGTATGCTGTATTGTTAATGCTGTGAGCCAAAGGTACTTTCTTTGAGAAACTTGCTGCCTGGAGAGAGACAGAAGCATAGAGAAGAGATGATGATCATGATAATCATTATCATGATGATCATTTAAAAGAGGCTGGAGTTAAACAAGATGTATAAATCTGAGATGGAGGGAAAGATGGATAGGGGGTCATCATAGGAAAGGTTAAGGGAGAGGGTAAAAGAGGTTTTGTGTGTGAAAGGCTTGGACATCAACACATATATGTGAGCATGTTAGATAAGGGTGCGTGGAGGTTGGTGGTTTTTATGATTTGATTTACTGTTGGAGTGTGAGGAAGGTAACATTTATGAAGGGATTCAAGGGAAACTGGTTAGATGGATTTGAGCTCTGGAGGTGGAAAATAAGAATAAGAATAAGAAATTTATTTTGACATGATACATAGTTGTACAAAGGAATATAATAGCTGGGTGTACATTCCAAAAACCCCTTTGTATGCAGAGCATTTCGGGCAAACTTAATACAGTATTAACTTAAGATTAGTAAGGCAATAACAGATCATTATATGGTCCTTTGATAAGTTACAGTGTGTACAAGAGTATTAAGTTGTTATAGGTAATACTATCAAGCTTTAATAAGTTTAGTAGAGAAGCTCAGTAGTGAATAATTACACTTTTAAAATTAGTTTTAGCAATTACATTATTGCAAACAATGGTACAATTTGAATTGATTTACAATATGGAATTATTACAATGGAACAATTTAACACAATTCACAACATGAAATTACAGTGGTACCTCGAGTTATGAACTTAATTTATTCCAGAGGGCTGTTCAAGTGACGATACCAAACAAATTTGTTCCCATAAGGATTAATGTAAATAAGATTAGTCCGTTTCAGACCCCCAAAAATACGCTTACAAAAGCACTTACAAAAATACACTTACATAATTGTTCGAGTTAGGAGCTGTTCGAAACCCGAGGTACCACTGTATTACAATTTTGTAATATTAGAGACAATGAAATTTATGGCATCCTAATTTTGAAGTAATGAGTTTATGGTTGAGCAATCCTTAACACAGTATACAGTAATGAAATTGAATTAAGTTTAAGTTGAGCAATCTTAACTTACTTAAAATTTTTTGTATAGATTTTGAGTAACTGGTAGGTATTGAGTATGGTTTGTCAGGTTAATTTTGGGTGATTAGGTGATTTTAAGTAGAGCCTTAAATTGATTTGCAGGCAGGGGTCCTTTAGTGTGTTCTGGTAATGAATTCCAGATCTTTGGGCTCTTTACATGCATAAAATTTTTGCATAGGGAGAGATGGACACGAGAGATATCAAAGAGTGATTTGTGTCTTGTATTATGGCTGTGTGTTCTGTTACAGTTATCACGGAGGAGTTTGAGAGGAGGGTTTATATTTGAGTATAGTGTTCTGTGTATGTAGTAGGCACAATAATAAGTGTGGATGTTTTGTATGTTAAGCAAGTTAAGATTCTTGAAAAGTGGTGGAATATGATGTCTAGTGCAGGAGTTAGTAATCAATCGCACTGCAGCTTTTTGTTGGGTTATTAACGGTTTGAGGTGATTTCCTGTGGTTGAATCCCATGCACAAATACCATAGGTGAGGTAAGGGTAAATGAGAGAGTGGTACAGAGCAAGGGCTGATTGGGGTACATAGTGCCATATCTTGGAAAGGATACCTACTGTTTTGGAGACTTTCTTGGATTTTTGCATTATGTGTGTCTGCAATTTGAGACCACAGTCAAGGTGGAGACCTAGAAATTTGGCCTCAGTGATTCTAGAAATGGGTGAACCATTTATCATTATGTTTAGCTGTACATTTGAAGGTCTTTCCAAATAGGATGAAGTAGGTTTTGTCTGTATTGAGAGTAAGTTTGTTGGTAGTCATCCAAGTAGATATTTTTAGTAATTCGGCATTTACAGTGTCTGCTAGTATAGTTGGGTTTGGGTGAGAGAAGACATAAGTAGTGTCATTTGCAAATAATATGGGTTTAAGGAGTTTAGATGCATTTGGTAGATCATTGATGTAAATGGGAAAGAGAAGTGGGCCAAGGACACTCCCCTGTGGGACCCCAACAAGAACAGGTTGAGTAGTGGAGTTAGTTCCATTTGTGTATACATACTGATTTCTTTTGCTAAGATAAGATTTAAGGTAATTGAGAGAACGTCCTCTGATCTTGTAATTTTCTAACTTTTGGTGCAATAGGTCATGGTCAGCTGTATCAAAGGCTTTTTGTAAGTCTATGAAAAGTCCCAGGGAGTGTTCCTTTTTTCTGAGTGCTGAATATATTAGTTTGAGCATATGTATAATTGCATCATTAGTACTTTTTGTCGGTCTGAATCCAAACTGACAGTGGTTGAGTATGTTGTGGGATACTAAGTAGAAGTAGACTTGTTTGTGAATTAATTTTTTGAAGATTTTAGATAATAGGGGCAAGTTCAATGTAGGCCTATAGTTGTTCAATTCAATTGGATCACCTCCTTTGAGGATCGGGGTAACCCTTGCTGTCTTGAGTATGGATGGGAAGATTGAAGATTCAATGTATTTGTTAAAGAGAGTTGCAATAATTGGTGACAGCACCTGAGAAGCTTTTTTATACATAAGTGGTGGTAAGTTATTTAGGTCTCCTGCCTTGTTCTTGAGTGTTTTGATGATGAGTGAGATTTCAGTAGTGTTAGTTGGGGCTAAAAATAGAGTATTTGGGTAGTTGCCTGTGAGGTAGTCTTTTGGTTGAATGTTTGAGTTTGGGATTTTGCTTGCTAGCTTTTTTCCTACAGTCGAGAAGAAGACATTAAGTTTGTTGGCAGTATCAGTTAGCTGGAGGAGAGGTTCTCCTGGTTTCGTTAGGTTGATCATTCTGTTTTGTGACATCTTTTTAGATCCTAGAATTTCAGATAAGGTCTTCCAGGCCTTTTTCATATCACCTTTTATGTCATGTAATCTGTTTTCATAATACAATTTTTTTGACCTCCTTATTTGGTTGGTTAATATTGACGAGTAACGTTTTGCTGGATCCTTAGTTATTAGACCCATTCTGTACTGTTTTTCATATAGATGTTTTTATTTATTTTTTTTTTTATTATCACACTGGCCGATTCCCACCAAGGCAGGGTGGCCCGAAAAAGAAAAACTTTCACCATCATTCACTCCATCACTGTCTTGCCAGAAGGGTGCTTTACACTATAGGTAGTAGGTTGGTAGACAGCAACCACCCAGGGAAGTAGTACCGTCCTGCCAGATGACTGTGAAACAGAAACCTGTAACTGTTTTGCATGATGGTAGGATTTCTGGTTTCTTTTCCTGTCTCATAAACATGCTAGATAACAGGGATATCTTGCTACTCCTACTTACACTTTGGTCACACTTCACAGACACGCATATGCATATATATATACGTACATCTAGGTTTTTCTCCTTTTTCTAAATAGCTCTTGTTCTTCTTTATTTCTTCTATTGTCCATGGGGAAGTGGAAAAGAATCTTTCCTCCGTAAGCCATGCGTGTCGTATGAGGCGACTAAAATGCCAGGAGCAATGGGCTAGTAACCCCTTCTCCTGTAGACATTTACTAAAAAAGAGAAGAAGAAAAACTTTATAATAGATGTTTTTTATCAATAGATATGAGGATGCTATTTGTAAGCCAGGGGCTGTTTAGTCTCTTTGCTATGATTTGCTTAGTTTTATTGTGTATTCACTCTGAAGGAGGGGTGGGGATATTGCAACTTGGAGAGGCATCTGATCTGAAATGTCGGCACACCTCTGGCAAGACGGTGATAGATTGAATGATAGTGAAAGTTTTTCTTTTTTTTTTCCTGGTGGGAAATGGCAGGTGTGTTAAACTCAAAAGTCACAAATGTATACTTGTTGGAGTGGAGTAGAGATAGGTACATAATAATATAAACAGTACATGGAAAGTACTTGAGGGCCTAGTCCCAAATCTGCACATGGCCCTGACAACATAAGGGAATGAGAGATATGGGAAAATGTGTAGAATAAACCCAGTGAAAAGCAAATTTACCCTGGGCACAATAAAGAACATTGTACCAACCCTGTGATCCCAGACTTTCTAACATCTGACCAGAAAATATCAGAAACACTGTCAGAACGAGTGAAGAAGTCTTCAAGAGACAATTTCCTCTGTCAAGAGCCAGATCAACCAGGCTCTGATGGTGATGTCAGCCTCAGCTGCAACAGCCTGGTTGACCAGGCAAGGGCTGGACAAGCCTGGCCCAGGGCTGGGCTTTGAAAGTAGGGAAAAACTCGAAACTCATGAAAGTTAAATTTTATTTATTATATTTAATCCCACACCTGTCTCCAACTCTTTAGCATTAACTTCTTTTACAATCCCATCTAAAAATATGGTAAACAATTCACTTGTATCTGCGTGCCTCTTGCAAGACAGTGATAATGTGAATGACGATGAAAGTGTTTCTTTTTCGGGTCACCCTGCCTTGGTGGGACATGGCCAGTGTGTTAAAAAAAAAATCACTTGTCTCATAGTTAAAGCAACATATAGGTTTTTTTTATTTGTTTTTTATTAACACATTGGCCACTTCCCACCAAGGCAGGGTGGCCCAAAAAAAAAAGGCTTTCATCATTCACTCCATCACTGTCTTGCCAGAGGCATGCCTACACTACAGTTATTAAACTGCAACATTAGCACTCCTCCTTCAGAGTGCAGACACTGTACCTCCCATTTCCAGGACTCGGGTCCGGCCTGCCGGTTTCCCTGTATCCTTTCATGAATGTGTTTTTGCTTACATTCCAACAGCATGTCAAGTCCTGAAAACCATTTGTCTCCCTTCGCTCCTATCTAACACGCTCATGCACGCTTGCTGGAAGTCCAAGCCCCTCACACACAAAACCTCCTTTACCCCCTCCCTCCAACCTTTCCTAGGCTGACCCCTGCCCCGCCTTCCCTCCACTACAGATTTGTAAACTCTCGAAGTCATTCTATTTCATTCCAATCTCGACATGTCCAAACCATCTCAATAACCCCTCCTCAGCCCTTTGGATAATAGTTTTGGTAATTCCACACCTCCTCCTAATCTCCTATCTACAGATTCTCTGCATTATGTTCACACCACACATTGCCCTCAGATATGACATCTCCATTTCCTCCAACAGTGAATGCCTGCAACATTCACAACCCATGCCTCACACCCATACAAGAGTGTTGGTATAACTATACTCTCATACATTCCCCTCTTTGCTTTCATGGATAAAGGTCTTTGTCTCCACAGACTCCTCAGTGCACCACTCACCTTTTTCCCCTCGTCAATTCTATGATTCACCTCATCCTTCATAAACCCATCTGCTGACATGTTCACTCCCAAATATCTGAGCACATTTACCTCCTCCATACTCTCTCCCACCAATCTGATATCCAATCTTCCGTTACCTAATTTTTTTGTTATCCTCATCACCTTACTCTTTCCTATATTCACTTTTAACTTACTTCTTTTACATACCCTACCAAACTCATCACCCAACCTCTGCAACTTCTCTTCAGAATCTCCCAAAAGCACAGTGTCAACAGCAAAGGGCAACTGTGACAACTCCCACTTTGTGTTAGATTCTTTATCTTTTAACCCTATACCTCTTGCCAACACCTGAGCATTCACTTCTCTTACTACTCCATCTATAAATATATTGAACAACCATGGTGACATCACACATCCCTGTCTAAGGCCTACTTTTACTGGGAAATAATCTCCCTCTTGCCTACATACTCTAACCTGAGCCTCATTATCCTCGTAAAGACTTTTCACCGCTTTCAGTAACCTACTTCCTATTCCAGACATTTGCAACATCTGCCACATTGTTCCATTATCCACCCTATCATATGCTTTTTCCAAATCCATAAATGCCACAAAGACCTCTTTTCCCCTTATCTAAATACTGTTCACCTATGTGTTTCACTGCAAGCACTTGGTCTACACACCCCTACCTTTCCTAAAGCCTCCTTGTTCATCTGCTATCCTGCTCTCTGTGTTGCTCATAATTCTATCAATAATAACTACCATACACTTTACCAGGTATACTTAACAGACTTTTTTTTTTTTCCAACAAACCGGCCGTATCCCACCAAGGCAGGGTGGCCCAAAAAGAAAAACGAAAGTTTCTCTTTTTAAATTTAGTAATTTATACAAGAGAAGGGGTTACTAGCCTCTTGCTTCTAGTATTTTAGTTGCCTCTTACAACATGCATAGCTTACGGAGGAAGAATTCTATTCCACTTCCCCATGGAGATAAGAGTAAATAAACAAGAACAAGAACTAGTAAGAAAATAGAAGAAAACCCAGAGGGGTGTGTATGTATATGTTTGTACATGTATGTGTAGTGTGACCTAAGTGTAAGTAGAAGTAGCAAGACGTACCTGAAACCTTGCATGCTCACGAGACAGAAAAATGGACACCAGCAATCCTACCATCATCTAAAACAATTACAGGCTTTCATTTCACATTCACTTGGCAGGACGGAAGTACCTCCCTAGGTGATTGCTGTCTACCAACCTATTACCTAGAACTCAACAGACTTATTCCCCTATAATTTTTACAATCTTTTGTCCCCTTGGCCTTTATACAGAGGAACTATGCATGCTGTCTGCCAATCCCTAATACTAATATTAAATAACAAAAAAGGCACAATACCGTGACTGGAACGATACACAAACATGTGTAAAATGCTTCCTTGACCATCTCTCAACACTTGTAGTCATTTGAAAGATTTGGGAATCCTACATAAGGCTGACTTCCAAGGGAGGGAAGTTTCCAAAAGACACAATAGTTATTTATTACATGCATGTTTGTGAATTGGCATAATGAATTATTTTATTTTCAGGTAAAGGCCCTGTTGAGTCATCGGTCTGGGATTCATGAAGATGATACTCTAGTAAAGTTAGGTATGCCACTGTTCTTACCATCAGAATCTGGCTGTTGTAAACAGTGCATTATTAAAGCTGTTAACCACATTTTATTTATAGAAAAAGTTAAGGCACTTCCACAAGCAAGCCAAGAAAGAAGCTCGCAGAGAACATGAAGGGTTAGTTTTATTTTTAATTTTTGTGTTTCATCTATTTTTAAGCCATGTATTGAATTGCAGAGATGTAGTTTATCTTTAGAAATTATTACCTCAAATCACTAAAACTATATTAATGGGATCATTGACATTAAGATTTTATAAAAAAAGTAGTTTGATATGCTATTTTTGCTTAGATAAAAATGAATGCTCTCTTTTCATTTCATCATAATATTATACAGAATACTGTGGCTACAGATAGGTATTACAGTGTAGTATAAAACTAATATACAGCTCTTACTTTCATTTTTTGTCATTTTAATAGCTACCTTTGGCACAGATTATTGGTAACAGAGAATACAGGTAGTAGGGAGACTAAATGCATACTACATGTTATATGCATACACCTACCATCTGACTTATGCCTGAGTTTGGTTCCGACTAACTGATCGTTAGTCAAAATGGACGCAAATTGAACCTTTCTACTGAATATCAGCATCACATTATGTAATGATTTTATTTTGTTTTATTTTGGTATTTAATTTTTTACTTTACTTTTATGCTGTTAGTACTGTATTTTATACTGTAAGGTTTAGGAGGAACTGTGTGTACAACACAAACAGTTGTTTATTTCCCAGAACATTTACATAAAAACATGATTGTAAATCGAGTGGTCGTATGTCGAGCAGGTCGTAAGTCGGATGGTAGGTACTTGCCATGATGTTTTGTAAATAATAGTTAATGCAGACTAAGCAAAAGTTCTCAAATGTAAAGTGGAGTTGAATCCTACTTACATGGCTTACTTGTATGTATATGTGTATAAAGTGGAGGTGAAGCATACTTACATGGCTTACCTGTATAACTTCACATTGATCAGGGACAGTTGCATGTCTAGGTGAGTTTCTTTTTTGATAATTCATATGTTTGCAATGATGAAGTACCTCCTCCCATGGGAGACTTAGGTCTCGAGATACTCCCCAGATAAAGAGCCAAGGCCGGGTCACCACTACTTGGAAAAGACCCGGGCCGGGAGAGTACCGGTGAATAAAAAAAAAAAAAATGATGAAAATTTTCTGGCTCTCATAGAGATGAGTTTAAGCTAATTCTTGTTTTAGGATGCATGCAGACAGATCCTCTGCTTTCATGCACACTGATGTATATCATGCAAGTTGGTTTGAGCATTTTCTGTCTCACTGTTCTACACTTCTAGTATTTTCCTTATGGGCCTCATCTACCTTCTCTAGGATTTTAGGTACTGGTGGCAGCATATTTAGGTGAAGTTCAGTGAACCATACCATAGAATATATTTTAAAGTACAATATTAAAAACTTATTTTTGTGAAGAGTTTCATGAACCATGGTGTCCTCTGCCTCCCTTGTCAGTTGTTCCTCATCCAACTGTTCCAGATGGAGCAAAAATCCTGTACATTAAGCAGTTCAGGCAGCAAAGAGATCTTAGGGGCACAGTCAACACTGCAGCAACATATATTTTGTCCCTAACGAAAGATGCATCTCTGCATCAGGGGCAGTGAGGGGCCCCCCACATTTTATTCCATCTTCCCTAGCTGTTGTTTTGGTTACCAACTGATTTTTGGAGCAGCGTTAGAGTCCCAGATAATTTTGATCATTTTTTTTTTTAATACACTGGCTGTTTCCCACTGAGGCAGGGTGACCAGAAAAAGAAGAAACACGTTTATCATCACTCACAAAATCACTGTCTTGCCAGAGGCATGCCAGTACTACAGTTTAAAAGCTGCAATATACCTCCATCCCTCCTTCATAGTCCGGGCACTATACTTCCCACCTCCAAGACTCCAGTCTGGCTAACCAATTTCCTCGAATCCCTTCATAAATACTAATTTGCTCACTCTGACGTTACATTGAGTCTTACAAACCATTCGCCTCCACTTACTCCTATGTAACACGCTCGCACATACTAGCTGGAAGTCTAAGCCTCTTGTACACAAAATCTCCTTTTCTCCCCTCCTTCCAACCTTTCCTTTCGGTTAAAAATCAACTTGTGATTGTAACACAAGTTGATTTAGAGTTCTTAGAGATCAGTATTGGTATGAAGGAGGTGTGACAAATTACAGCTGAGCTCCCTAGGACTCTTGACACAAAAAATCTGTCTTTAGATAAAGCCATAATTCAGTTTTTGTAATACCTGCAGTTACTAAATGTAAAAAGAAAAACTTTTTGCTTCTTCTTTTTTTCAGGTCACCCTGCCTTGGTGGGAGATGGCTGGTGTGTTAAAAAAAAAAGGGACACCTGCAATTGTGCGAATATTGGTGGATGTGTTCTCTCTTTAGGGTTACCTTGTCTTGACAGGAGAGGACTGCTGAGCTATAAAATAAAAGTCATAATTATGCTAATGATGCTTCTTGTAATATTTGCATTTAAAATCCAATTTTTAAATACTATGTGTCTTACTTTCAGACCAACTCAAGTGATTGGATTAGAAACACTGGAGTTTTGGCCAAGGTTAGCATTAAGTGCCTATGTGAAAGAAAATGGAATTGATTTAGAAGGTGAAGAAGAGGAAAATGGAATGGAGATAAGCAAGAAAAATGAGGATAATGTTAAGAATGAAGATGAAAATATTGATAGTGATACAAAAGTTGACAGTTCTCATGTAAATGGTAATGGTTGTGAAAAAACTGACATTAAACCAAAATCAGAGGGGATGGTGGTGTCTAGCTGTGATAAAACAAATTTAGTGCCTGAAACAGATAGTATAATTGCCTGTGATAGTCGGACAGGAGATGTAAATACAGACCTAGATCTAAAAGATAAAGCCGAAAAAGATTTTGGCAACTCGGAAAAAAAATTGTCTAATAGTAAAGGAAATGAAACCAAAGAAGGAAGTAGTGAATTAACCTTATTTAATGAAGATATTGTATGCAGACACAATCTTCTTTCTCCTACTGCATATTCTTCTAAAATTTCTAACGAGTTGGCTCAAGAAATAATGGAACTTTGTGGGGACTCCATACACCCAGCGATGTACCAAGAAGATTTTGACACTTGTCAAGATTGTCGGGTAAGTATGATGAATATTTGTACAGTCATTGCAGTGCTTTTTCTTGCTAGAATCTAGTGTGAAATGCTTATAATACCACCAGCTCATGCTGAAACTGATCATGGATCACAGGGTGTTGGCTTTGGCTAACCCCTTAGTTACAATTTTGTGGCTTTAAGCCAGCTTAGGGCCTATATTAAATTATATGCTTATACAAGTTAGAGTATGTAGGAAAGAGGGAAATTTTTTCCCAGTAAAAGTAGGCCTTAGACAAGGATGTGTGATGTCACCGTGGTTGTTTAATATATTTATAGATGGGGTTGTAAGAGAAGTAAATGCGAGGGTCTTGGCAAGAGGCGTGGAGTTAAAAGATAAAGAATCACACACAAAGTGGGAGTTGTCACAGCTGCTCTTTGCTGATGACACTGTGCTCTTGGGAGATTCTGAAGAGAAGTTGCAGAGATTGGTGGATGAATTTGGTAGGGTGTGCAAAAGAAGAAAATTAAAGGTGAATACAGGAAAGAGTAAGGTTATGAGGATAACAAAAAGATTAGGTGATGAAAGATTGAATATCAGATTGGAGGGAGAGAGTATGGAGGAGGTGAACGTATTCAGATATTTGGGAGTGGACGTGTCAGCGGATGGGTCTATGAAAGATGAGGTGAATCATAGAATTGATGAGGGAAAAAGAGTGAGTGGTGCACTTAGGAGTCTGTGGAGACAAAGAACTTTGTCCTTGGAGGCAAAGAGGGGAATGTATGAGAGTATAGTTTTACCAACGCTCTTATATGGGTGTGAAGCGTGGGTGATGAATGTTGCAGCGAGGAGAAGGCTGGAGCAGTGGAGATGTCATGCCTGAGGGCAATGTGTGGTGTGAATATAATGCAGAGAATTCGTAGTTTGGAAGTTAGGAGGAGGTGCGGGATTACCAAAACTGTTGTCCAGAGGGCTGAGGAAGGGTTGTTGAGGTGGTTCGGACATGTAGAGAGAATGGAGCGAAACAGAATGGACTTCAAGAGTGTATCAGTCTGTAGTGGAAGGAAGGCGGGGTAGGGGTCGGCCTAGGAAGGGTTGGAGGGAGGGGGTAAAGGATGTTTTGTGTGCGAGGGGCTTGGACTTCCAGCAGGCATGTGTGAGCGTGTTTGATAGGAGTGAATGGAGACAAATGGTTTTTAATACTTGACGTGCTGTTGGAGTGTGAGCAAAGTAACATTTATGAAGGGATTCAGGGAAACCGGCAGGCCGGACTTGAGTCCTGGAGATGGGAAGTACAGTGCCTGCACTCTGAAGGAGGGGTGTTAATGTTGCAGTTTAAAAACTGTAGTGTAAAGCACCCTTCTGGCAAGACAGTGATGGAGTGAATGATGGTGAAAGTTTTTCTTTTTCGGGCCACCCTGCCTTGGTGGGAATCGGCCGGTGTGATAATAAATAAATAACATGTGGGCTGAACACTCTGGGCAGTTTATAGTTTTAAATGAGCCCAGCTTTAGGTTATGAGCTCTCAATCTCTGTATTAAGGCTAAAGTCTTCCCTGCCTCTATTTTACAACTGTCTTCACCATGAATTGTATTTCTGGTGGTAGAGTTCTTAGTGCCTAGTGAGACATGGGAGCTAGATGCAAAATATACATTTTTTTAAGTATGAAAAATCTATTTCTGTGCAAGGGTTTGGTGACCCACGGAGACTGCTACACCCACATGTCACCTGATCTTCACTGGCTAAACTAGTGAACTGGCCATTTGGTTATTGAGTACCTGGTGGGTTCCAATTCATTGAATAGTTCTGCTGGTGGTGTTTAGAGGTGAGATGAGGCATGCTTTAGGGGCTGGTAGGGTTCCAGGTGGGTTGTCTGGTCTGTACAGAAATATATTTTTTATACTAGGTGGGAAGGGCAGTGCCTGTACTCTAAAGGAAAGATGGGGATGTTGCAGTCAGAGAGTAACCTGATTGTGATGTATCAACACACATCTAGGAAGATGGTAATTGACTGAATGATCAGTGTTTTTGTCTGTGGATCACCAGACCTTGGCGGGAGACTTACATTGAGTTAAAAAAGCATGTACAGGATTATAGGGAATGAGAGACTGTATGAAACGGGGTTATACAGACAAACCAAACTTTGGGTGAAAGTACTTTACTGTAGATGTTGCTGTGACAGTATCTATCAGTAGGTGTGAGGAAATGTAACTTAAATCTTTGTGCTCACAGAAAAGTTACATTATAGGCAGGTTTTGTGAACCAACGATTCTTACGTTGAATTCTTACAAAAAGATTCTTGGGTTTTCTCTCAAGCATCTCTTAAAGAATCATTGGATTATAGTGGACGGAAAAGGAAACAGTGAATAACCTTTATATTGAGAAAAAGGGGCGGAAAATGAATCAGGCAAACAAATCTTCTTGTATCAAGAGAGTTTTTTTGTTGAGACTAAAAGTACTAGGGCAAGAACCCATTTATAAGTATATAGTACACCTTTATTTGAGTTGGTGGTAAAGAGCAGCGAGGAAGAAAGTTGGAAAGCAGTGGAGTGCCCTGTTAGCATTATGGTGTAAATATTTTGAAAATTCTGAGCACCCTGAAGAAGGGTGGGATGTGTGCATTAATAAAAGCTGATTGTAATGGTTAGGACACTTGTGAAGGTGGTATTGAATGATTTAGAGGAAATGGATCTATTTGTAGAAGCATGGACAGGTGATGAATTTTAAGGTGAAATAAAAACATAGGGAAAGGGGTTCTAAAAAGTTGGAAAATAAAGGAGGTTTTTTGGTGAGGGGTTGCCTTCCACAAGCCATTAGTAAAGATAATGGAACGAAATGTACTTGGGACCTTGACGATCTGTTGATGTGAGCAGGTATATTTAGTGAAGGATTCAGGGAAACGGTTATTTTAATAGTCGGACTTGAGTCCTGGAAATGGGAAGTACAATGCCTGCACTTTTAAAGGAGGGGTTTGGGATATTGCAGTTTGGAGGGATATGTGTGTATCTTCTACTATATGTTCAAGTGTTGATTCTGAGCACTCTGCAAAGCAGTGATTAATGTGTGAGTGTGGTGAAAGTGTTGAATGATGATGAAAGTATTTTCTTTTTGGGGATTTTCTTTCTTTTTTGGGTCACCCTGCCTGGTGGGAGACGACGCGACTGTTGATTAAAAAAAAAAAAAATAAATTTTTTTTAAAAAGTATTTTTCTTTGTGTCTTCCTTATGACAAAAGATTTACATGTATAGGGAAAAAATAACTTTTAAACTGTGCATGCGTGAGAGTTGTAAAAACCCTGCTGTGATTGTTTTAAAATTTAAACATAATTCGTATAGGATTCTTTTCTTTGTTTCAACTGACCAGCCGTTTCCCACCAAGGCAGGGTGGCCCAAAAAGAGAAACAAAAGTTTCTCTTTTTAACTTCAGTAATTGATGGACTAACCATGTCGACTCAAGGCTGAGGGACTGATTACCTCAAACTTCTCCTGTTCTTCACCATTCTCCTTTGTATGGACTATGAAGCCACTGTGTAGCAAAACATTTCCTCATTAAAGATACCTAAGTGTTGCACATGTGTCTAATTTAGCAATTTGTCAGTTCTCTGAACCATTCATCTACACTTCTTATATCTAATTCTTCATCTTGTCAGTACTGTTTACCATACATGTATATAACACAGATCACATACATTAATGGAAAAATGAGAATGTCATGGAAAAGTAACTGACAACTTAGAAACTAGAAGAGAAAAATTAGCATATTAGTGCATTACAATATTTTGTAGCGAGATTATTTTTTTAACGCAGCTGTCTCCTATCAAGGTAGGGTGACCCCCACAGAAAAAGGAAAACACATTCACCATCATTCATTTAACAGCTGTCTTACCAGAAGTGTGCTGACATCACAATTCAGGTGATCCTCTGAACTACAACTTCTCCTTAAGAGTGCAGGTACCTTCCCTCCTCCAGGATTCAAGTCTGGCTAATCGGTTTTTCTGAATCCCTTCATAAATGTTACCTTGCTAACTATCCAACAGCAAAATATTTGTGAACAATCAACAGCAACAAAATTCGTAAGTAAATAAATCAAATAAACAGTGACACTAAACAGTACAAAAATTTATTTATTTATTTCTTTCAACACACCAGCCGTATCCCACTAAGGCAGGATGGCCCAAAAAGAAAAACGAAAGTTTCTCTTTTAAATTTAGTAATTTATACAGGAGAAGGGGTTACTAGCCCCTTGCTCCTGGCATTTTAGTTGCCTCTTACAACACGCATGGCTTACGGAGGAAGAATTCTGTTCCACTTCCCCATGGAGATAAGAGGAAATAAACAAGAACAAGAACTAGAAAGAAAATAGAAGAATACCCAGAGGGGTGTGTATATATATGCTTGTACATGTATGTGTAGTGTGACCTAAGTGTAAGTAGAAGTATCAAGACGTGCCTGAAATCTTGCATGTTTATGAGACCGGAAAAAGGACACCAGCAATCTTACCATCATGTAAAACAATTACAGGTTTTCGTTTTACACTCACTTGGCAGGACGGTAGTACCTCCCTGGGCGGTTGCTGTCTACCAACCTACTACCTAGGACAAATTTATTTAATAATATAATTAAGCATAGCTACACTAAATATATAACACACTATTTCCTTTGCTTCTTGAGCACTCTTCTATCTCTCTCTATTTTTCACCTCTTGATATTAATATTTGTTGTTGACAAAATACTTTTGTGTTTTGTCCAGTTGAGATTGCGCTGAAAAAATGCTTCTCTGTTTTGTCCAGTTGGGATTGAGGTGTACACATCACCAGAGGATCTCTGTACCTGGAGCCATTGTTATTGTTGGAGTATTTTTTCCCTCCAGTTGGCTTCCTGGGAACAACCTCTCTCCATTTTCTCCCTTCCGTCTGTTTTTTTTTTTTTTTTACATATATATTTTAAGGTTTGTAGTCTGTGTTTATCCTCCATTTTCTGTTTCTCACCTTTGATCTCTCTCCATTTTCACTTTTCTTACTCTCACTGCTAGGGTTTAGTGCCTCC